GCCAAGGTGTGGTGCGCTCTCAGGAAGCGCGGTGTGTAACCTGTTGTAGGAGCAGGAATTGATGTGTCATTCAGTCTCCATTCAAACTGTCTCTTAGTATCCAAATCCAGATTTTACAGGATCCCTAATAAATCGGATCTCCGTTCCTGTGTTGGCCAGATGAGTCTCTAAACTTTTTGTTTCTCTCTCTAAGTTTGGTAATCTTACTGCCAGGGTGCTGCTACAGTTCTGCTGTCTGTACGAAGCGCTGCTTGACAGGAGTCCTAGAAACCATCCCCAATGTTCATGTGCTTTGAGACCTTAGTAGGTACAATGCATTGGAAGGATTAACTATGTGATATATTTTCCCTTTCAGAAAAAGAGCAGAGAAGAGACATGTGGGGAAGGCAGCGGGGTCGAGATCCTGGAGAACAGGCCATACATGGATGGACCGGGAGGCAACGGGCAGTATACTCACAAAGTGTACCACATTGGTATGCACATACCCAGCTGGTTTCGGTCAATACTGCCCAAGGCAGCTCTGCGAGTCGAAGAGGAATCGTGGAATGCATATCCTTATACAAGGACAAGGTAAAACTTATCAAAATGTCCAGAACTGTTTCCCCTGCTTTAGAGAGAGGATGTGAGGTCTCTCTGTGTGGCAGTGGCATATCTTCCATATCCTGTAATATCCTTTAGAGAAACTGGGGTCAAGTCCTAAAATTCTTACACAGTGCTTAATCTGAGGAGTGCGAACGTTGCCTGAGGTGACTGCATACGTACTTGAGAATTTGTGGCTGGTTGCTCTAAAATGTGAGCTGTTTTGTCCATCAAAGCATGGGAAGTCTTGAATGGTTTTTATTTAGTCTTGTGTCCTACGCTGCATATTCTACTTAACGTTGCAGATATCTGCTAGCTCAGTGAAGTTATAAATGTACGCAGTGATGGGACAGTTGTCCTGTTGAACACTGTCAAGTAAGACAGGATTCATTTGTTCTAGGGGGGGAAGAAAAATCTTAATAAATAAATAAATCTGGTGCTTCTTTTCTGGGAACTGTCTTACTGTCATTTAGCTAGAAAATGACAAACCTACTTCCTATGGTTTTCACCCTGAGAGGGGAAGAGCACCAGAGGCTCTGTGGAGCCCTCTGGGACCTCCTTGTTTCAGCTGATTTTGTCTGGAAGGACTTCAGATACCCTGGAATAAATTGCCTGTATGCCAGTTACTCTGGTTTAGAGCATTTGTGCCTTTTCCAAGTTTATAAGTCTGATATTGCTGTCATCTTTCATAACAAAAAGGCTTTAACGGATATTTTGATTTTTATCAAAAATCTAGAAAAGTTTCATAGTTCTGTTTTTGCTGCTCCCTACAAGTAACATTAGTCTGGGGAAAGGTGGGCACTCAGTGTCTGCATACGGGCAGTTGCTCATGACTAAATATAATGCAGCTGTCTGACTTTCAAGTGATTAAAGTCCACTTCCAGTCTCTTCTTATCTATTCTCTTCAACTGCCTGTGAGTCAATAAGTTGGCCAGGAAACCTGGCCCTGCGCAGAATCAGTCCGTATTTTATTCTGCCACAGATTCCAGGCAAGAGCTCTGCTTTTCTCCTGGCAGAGATGCATTTCCTGGGGGTCCTTGTGTCATACCTGCGAGGAGAATATAACTTGTTAGTATAGCAGACCTGAAAGTTATCTCCTTGCTGAAAACTGCTCCTTTAAAAACAGTCTGTCCTGATAATCTTCTCCTGGAGGAGACATTGTCAAATTAAGTTGCAGGTTTTTGTCAGTGTCTCTGCAAAGTGAGAGGACTTGGTGGTCCCCTCAGGCTTTCTGCTTGCTTGTTGCCAGCTGGGAAGTTGTTTCTTGGTCAATGTGGGTGCCCAATCTCCAGTAATTGCATGGGGTGCATTGGTATCTTCTCACCCATAATCCATGTAACACCTCATGGGGAGCACCTCATGTAACTCTTTGCTGTGGAGTTTTACTAAACCAGAGCTATTCCAGTGAAGCCGCGTGTCCAAGGCAAGCTCCTGTCTTCAGAAGTTATTAAAGAAAATCTCTTTAACCTGTACAGTTGGTATTTTAAGCATATCTGAAGTAAAACATGAGTGAAGGCTGGCTTGGATTTGAGACTGATTTTGTACATCTTAAGAAAGCGTTTTCTTCGCTTACCACGCTGAGCGGGATTTACTCTAAGCTGCATTGTTCTCGTTTTCAGGTATACGTGTCCTTTTGTTGAGAAGTTCTCTATTGATATTGAGACATACTACAAAACTGATTCAGGAGAGCATGCCAACGTGTTCAACCTTTCTCCTGCAGAAAAAAGACAAACGATTCTAGGTGAATAGCCCTTTTCTTTTACTTTTTCCTTTATTCTGCTTTTTTTTTTTCTCTGCGTAAAGGATTTTGCTTGGTGTGTCCCATCTGCCTGTCCATCCTCCCCCTGAACCCATACCTGCAGCCCTGTTGCTGTCAGGCTGCTGGGTAGGGTTACATCAAGCAGAGTGAGGACACCTGAGTTCTCGTCTAGGCTTGATGTAAATCACATGGAAATAATTTGAATCCCCTGTCTGTAAAATGAAGCTGATACTTTCCTGTCTTATTTGTGCAGCTCCTGAGGGGAGTAAGACATCTAATGATTTTGGGGGTAGTAAGTAGAAGTAACCATAGAAGAGGAAAATATTGCTGTATAATTGTGTAGCTCCTTCACATATATGAAAATCATTCCTATCTGCATTTCTGAAACGTGAAGGTGTATTTCATTTTTGCTCCCCCTCCTCTTAGTCTTGCTCTTGTACAGATTAACACTTCAGCTTCGCAGCTGTCTTTGGGAGACTGGGTTAATGAACCTTATATATGTAAGGATAATGAGAAAAGGCAAAAGGGAACATCTTATAAAAAGGCAGAGAATGGCAAGTGTCGTAGCGATTCCTCTGCCTTGCTGTCCATCGTGGTCCGTGCCCATGGCATTTTCTGGAGACCTAACTGCATGGCAGGGAGCACTGGCACTTAGAGCCACGCGGGACTGAAGCATCCCTTGCTCTGAAGCTGCTGGGACTGGAGAAGTGTTGAGCTCAGGCTGACTTCTGGCAGTCCCATGCTGCGCTGGCCGCAGCAGGAGCTCTGGGGAAGGACATCTAGTGGCTGCTCTGGCTCCTTGAGCACTGGTGATGTCCGCAACATGCCAGTAACCCCCTGCAATTTTACTTGAGCGTTACTTGATTTAAACTTTTGTTTGAACTTCAGTTTGACTGTCCTCATTCCTAAGCCTATCTGATCGGGCTTTCAGTACTGAGCAAACAGGTTTGAGTCATGCTGCCTTACTGAGAAGTGTCAGAAGAGCTGTCGTTTCTTGGAAAGTGCGACCCTGCCCTTCAATCCAAACTTCAGATGTTTCTCCTCATGTCTGGAGTGGGGGTTCCTGAGCTTTAAAGTATGTTCATTCACTCTGCTCCCATTGCAGTTTCCACTTCCCCGTTGTTGAAGTGTTAATTAGGACTTAAGTTAAACTTTCTGCCTTCCGTAGTACATCTGGTGTAACGATAGCATGTGTGGAGTTGCCATAACCTCACTTGATGGACTCCAAAGATCAGACGTTCAGTGGGTAGTGCCTTTTCCGTAATAGTGCTAAGAAAGGGCAGGTATATTTAACCATCTCAGATGAGACAGAGCTGTAGCACCGTGAGTGATATTACAAAAGCTGAAAGATGGAATGTGCAAAAGATCTTTTTGGAGCTGGAAAGATGGAGTGAGCAGATCTGCCTGAGTGCTGTGGATCTGCAGTTGCTGTGGGCAAAAACATCTATTTGGAACAAAGCCTCTGTTTGCTGGAACTGCGCGTAGTAGTTCCTCTGGTACAGCTGATCACTGCCCAGCAGCAATGTACAAACAATTTAAATATCAGTTGTTTAAGTGTAACTAAAAAGAAACTAAATGGCTGTAATGCTTCTGGTACTTGCTAAAACAGAAATAACTCCTGAAAATGGTATTTTCTTCTTTTGTTCAGGAAAAGGAAATGTTTAACTGTTTCTATTCTCTTTCTATAGATCCTATTGATATTGTTAAAGATCCTATTCCTCCACATGAATACAAAGCTGAGGAGGATCCAAAGCTGTATAAATCAGTGAAGACTAAAAGAGGGCCCCTCTCAGAAGACTGGATTCAAGAGTACAAGAACAACCCTGGGAAATACCCTATCATGTGTGCATATAAACTGTGTAAAGTCGAGTTCAGATACTGGGGGATGCAGTCGAAAATCGAGCGATTTATCCATGATGTTGGTGAGCATCTATAGTCTTGCAAAGTTCACTGTCAGCTCCTTTATGTTGTTTCTGAATTGAAACACAAAGGCGATGTATCATATCCCAAGACATGTCTGTGAAGAGATTCTCAGATCTGATTACTCTTTTTGCAGAGCTCTGGGTCAGTTCAGAAAAAATCATGTTATTCTGTCACTTGTAATCATGGTATGTATGAATCCAAACCACATGCAGCCACTGAAAGGGTTTCAAGTCCTGTATAGGCAAGATATCGTGTTGTCTTTTTTTTAAACATAAGGATCTGTCTGTTTAACTTTTCCAGATCATTTTCAAAATCTGCCAGTTTTCTTTATTGTGCACAAAATCCTCAAGGGTTGCTCAAAGAAATGAGCTTCGCTTGTGAGTCCTAAGTGGTTTCAGAAAACGACTCCCTGGAGCGTCCCTAGTTTCTGCCTGCCTTGTGGCAGGGCTGGTGGGTCTCTGTGTGGTCATACGCCTCTGTCCTCCAGGCTGCGGTGTTCAGGGCTCCCCACCTCGCTGTGCTATAACCCACCGTGGGTCACTGACGGCTCTTAGTTGTGAGTAAATGTGCTGCTTTGATTGATGCATCATTCTTAGGTCAGTGCTTTTAAGGAGGTATTGTTTGTGTCCCAGAAGTAACTAACTGGAGGACAGTCCAGGCGGTAGCAGTGCTGGCAGTAATTTGTTCTTTGCAGAAAATCTATAACACAACTGATACAGTTTCTGGGCCTTGCCACAAAAGACGGGATCTTGGCCAGATGGAATACTTAAAGAATGTTTTAAAGAAGCATTCCCATCTCAAAAGAAGTGCAGAGCTATGGCTGTCTTCTGGCAAAGAAAAGGCCAAAGAAAGGGTGTGTAAAGGATGCTACCTGCTTTCTGTACACAGTAAATCCTCCTACATGACCTCTACAGCTGTCCTCTCTATATGCAAACTTCTTTGAAGTGCCTGATGCTAGCATAAGTAAGTCATTTTATAGCTCTTTTCAGTCATACCATGCTCCTGAGAACTAATGTGGAGAACACTGATAGAGCAATGGAGAATAGTGTGCACTGCTCTCTGAATAGTCACAGGTTGCTTTCTTAAAGCTCCTTTGGTTTTACTTCACCCCAGATGGAAGTTTTTGACTATATTACACGTGGCTCTCTGCAATGAACTCCCTTGGCATTTCGGTGACATGGGTTAATTTAGTGTATGCTGCAAAACATGGGGGCAGAATAACAACTCCATTGTATCTGTTAAATGAAAAAGAAGCATGTGACTCTTCCAGTTGTTCAGAGGTGTTTGGCATAGATTAAACTGTGGTCCCTTAGAAATGTTTCTTTTGTATTTCATGAAAGATTGCCTGCCATTTTCCTCTTGATTGAGGCTTTGCGGAGAGCCGAGCCAGCTCATTGTCTGCCTTTCAAAAGCCTTTCCACTCTGTTATAATGATGGCAAATACTGTTTTTCAAAGTGGTTAAGATGCATAAAATCAGAAAAGTCTTTAAGGCAAGACAAAGTTGAGTGAGTGAAAAGGGAAAGCAAAAGCTTTGGGTATCTACAGAAGATGTGTAGCCTTCCCCTGCAATGGGATAGCCATGGGGAAGCCATTAGTGAGTGGGAAGAGTGCCATAGCACGTGTACCAAAGACAGCAAGGTATGAGGATGTTTAAGCTGGAAAGACGTGGGCTGCAACATGACTGACCAGGCATTTACGCTGATCCCAGTTTTGGGGTTTCAACTGGTGACCGAAAGCAGATGGAGACCTTTGTGCATTGGGCAGCCAATGGTGGACCAAGCTCTCAGGTGCCAGAGGTGTTCTTGTAGGCCAGCCCCTCCTTGGCATTTTTCTCCTCGTTCCTCTGTTCCCAGCTCCTGCAAATTTGTTTCTTGGGGAATTAGCGTGCTCTGTGCAGGGTCACCAAGCCAGCGAGAAAACGGAGGCAGAAACCAAAAGTGGGATCCAAACTCTGCCCAAGGTGGGGGGAACAGTACTTAGTGGTGCAAACTAAAATTAGAGAATGGATTGAAAGAAGAACACATCTGAGTTAAGTGACGGATGGATTGTGATATGTAGAAAGGCTACTGAGCGCAGAGGGAGTAACTCTGGGGGATGGTGTTGAAACGTTCTCAGTCTTACTGAGTGCAACAGCCATTTTTTCTGATGACTAATTGGCCAGTTACTCAGTGCTTTGACAGCCTGAGACACAGACTAAAATTGTGGGCTATTAGTCTACTTGGCTGTAATATTTGTATGCTTTTTTTACTCCTTTCCCATAGAATTTGAGTTTAATTGGACTGGCACTGCATAATGTTCTGCTCCCACTGGCTTCCTAATGGTGCACGTGGGCTAGGATTCTTTTGTTGTTAAACAAGTGTGTCGACTGTGTATGGGTTATTGATTATATACTATGGCAAAGTGTGGTCCCATCCCAGTAACTGGAGCTTTGTCTGAGCCACTGCGTCTTAGGCTAAATATACCCAAATTGTTGCACAGTGATGAAGTGGAAGTGGTTTTAGAAAGCTCTTTTGCAGAACTTTTGCTTCACTAAAGCACTCAAATGAGAAAGTTCATCCAGAAGGGCTCTGCCCGCTGGGGCCTGCGGGTAGAGTTTTGTCTTTTCAAGGGTGGGCAGGTTGTCGTTAGCACGATGTGGATGTGACCACAGGCTTTTCTTTGTGAGTGGTCTGAGCAAGGGAGGGTAGGGAAGCAAGCAGATATAACTGCAGGTTGCCTTTGATCAGATACATTCAGACAACCAGAACGGTACTGAGAAGATCATGGGATCTGTTGTGACTGTCAAGGAAATAGTGTTGCACAGGGAAAATCAGGCATACTACTGGGCACATAGCTGATGGGTATCTGGGCAGTTGCTTTATATGGATAGTTGAGGGGGTTTGGGGAAGGATTTGGTGGTGGGTTTTTTGATTTGTTTTGGGTTTCTTGCATTGAGTTTTTGTTACAGTTACTATTTTTAATTCATGTTGAAAAACAAACCCAGAACTATAGACAAAAGCTTCTTAAATTCAGCTAAAGAATCCTTTCTGTCTTGGCTTGTCTCATGGTCATTTACGCTTCCTTTTGTAAGATTAAGTTCAACACCACAATCTGCAGGCAAATCATTTACAAGAGTCAGCACCTCATGGATTCAACCAGTCTCTGAGTTGTTGAGGTGGTGAGCTGAAAAGCAAGCGATTTAAATGTTTGCACCCTGCTAGACTCCACAGATGATCTTTCTGCACAACTCCGTAGGAAACGTTATGATTAAATCAACGCAACAATGATGGGTACTTCTGAACTCAAGCTGCATGTGTACGTTTGTGCATGTGTGGTTTCCTTGGTTTGTTTTTTTTTTTAAACCAAAGCATTGCGCACTCTAGAGATATAATAGTTTTGTTAACTACTGATATTACTGAAATCAGCTGGTACCTGTATCCTTATAAAAAAAAAAAAAACTGTTTCCATTATTTCTGATTGACTTCAGTGTGTGATTTGCCTGCCAAGACTGTGGCGTTATCCTCCAGTTCTGGGAAAGAAGGCTCAGATGAGTGTGGTGCACACTGGGGTGGAGGGGGAAAACCTACTCTAAAATCCTCCCTGATTCTTCTGTGCCGCTCGGTTCTCCCTCCACACCAGACGCCTCTTTGTGAGACCATCCCCTACCCTGCAGTTCTTCCATACAGCCGGGCTGGTTTGCTCTGTGGATGAGAAGGGAGCACGCACCCCACAGCAGGTGGTGGCAAGGGGGATGGAGGAGCATTGCATTGCCCGGAGCCTCACCTCCACTGGGCTTGTTGCATTCTCTCCGACCTGGAATAAGGTGACCGGTGGGATGCTGTCCCCAACCTGTCCTCCCCAGCCAGCTCCCACTACCCGGGGGCAGCACGCCACAGGCTTGCAAGGCAGACTGCCAAATGGGCTGCAGCCAGCCATGAGGCATGGCTTGAAAGCAGAGCGTGTGGGATTGAGTGCGGGACAGGGACTTCTCGGGCTGAGCAGGAGATGTTTGCAACTCCTCTCCTGCCAGAGAGAAAAATGAAAGCAAACTGGACCACAGATGCCTTCAGCACTGTCCTGATGGGCATCTGCGATCTGTTAAAAAAAAGAATTTTTCCCAATTACACTCTGTTTCCTGCATCTGATCTGTCCCCTCCTTTTCACTTTTCAAATGAAAAGCTTATTTTTCTCTAATGTTTTGGTAAAAACAATGCTTTAAGACTTGATTTTTTCCATTGCACAGGGAGGGAAGCAGTGTCTGGACAGGTGAAGTCAGTCGTTTGTAGCTGGATCTTGAATCCATGTAGCTGGGTGGGGGCACTCGGTGTGTCCTCTGCGTCTCTGCTGCCTACTGGAAGGCTTCAGCACTGCCGGCTGAATCAGGGATATACTCACTGCTCTGCACTGAGGGGCTGCTCAAGTTTTGCATCCCTAGCAGTGGAGATTTTTTCTGCAAGCCATGACTTTTTTCAATTTCTTTTGTACCTGGACAGCCTCATTCTCTTCCAGGTTCTCTCCCTGTGTTTAAGAAAGAGAAATTCAGCATCACTGACATATCCCAGGTGAAGGCCAGAGGCTAGGAAAATAATCTCAGTCTTTTTGACTTCGTAACTAATCTGGAGTGATAGAGGCACAACAGCCCTGAAGCCCTGTAATGCCATCCTATTTTCAAAAGAACAAGGCTTTAAGGAAGGGTGATTTGGGGTGTCTGATCAAAGTGATGTGAGCAGTGCAGATGGGGAGGTCTGCGGGTTGGGAGGAAGCAATACAGGTGATTTTTGTGATCTAAGAGATGAAGTGAAAGAAGGCAGAGGGGAACTTCAGGAGACTTTTTTTACCCCCAAGTGGTTTTCATGTTTCCTATGATGTTAGTCCATTAAAACAAAGATACGCCGTCAGTGTCATCTGTGCCTTTACACAGAGAATTTCGGAGGAGTTGGTGCATTGATACATCAAGGCTGGATCCAGGAGCATGAGCAGAGGCTGCTGAGCCCTGGAACGGGGGAAGCCTTGGGATGAGAGCGAGGGGGCAGTTCGCTTCTGTGTCTGATCACAGACTGTTTTCAAGGTGTTTCAAGGAAGATAGAAGTGGACGTTGTGGATGTGGAAGTCCAAAGGATGGTTGTGGTGTTGGGGACTGAATTACAGCAAGGGAAACGTTTTCTTGGCTTTCAGTGTGGATGTGATGGGAGTTTAATCTTCGCCTTCAAGCTCCGCTGATTGTCAATCATAACGGGAGATGAAGAGGCTAAAACATTCTCCTGTAGTTCTGCAAAAAGTAATCTGGTAGGGAAAATAACTCTGAATCTCGACTAAGGTTGAACAGAATTAAGTTGCCAAGGCCCCTCATTCTGCCCCCAGAAGGTCACAGTCTGCTGGCTCAAACTTGCCTCTGCTACATGGAGCTCCCTTCTGAAAGTCAGGCAGAGAAATGCCTAAAATATTGATAGATTTAATCTCCCTGTGCGAATGAAGTTCAGGTTGAGCTGGTCCATTGCATTAGCTGCTGATCTCAGTGCTGTCTCCTCCTGATACGTTGACTTGTGATGGCTGGTGGCATTAAGAACTAACCAAAGAGCAGAGCAGACAATAAAGTGCCCAGACCTGAAAGGAGATAAACATTAAAAAATAAGCTTTTTGTATGTTTAAAAAAACAACAAAAAAGTGATTGCTGAAAGCAAAAGGGATATTTAGGCTGAACATCACAGAAACTGTGACGGTAGCGAGATCTAAGATTTTCTGTACAACAGTGAAGCAGATGTTGCTGGAAACACCTTAGAAACCTTGCACGCAATGGGACCATCCAGCTTTGGCTGTGCTCCTGGAGATGGAGGGTGGCTTACGAGGGCCATCTTTCCTCTTGGGGGTGCTTAGAGAGCTCCATCTGCAGCTCCCAAAATCTAAATGATTTTAATGTAGCCTGTTGATGGCTCTCTATCTTGTAATAGCGCTCATGGTGGTGTGGCCTGTGGTCCTCGGCCAGGGTCTTCATTAGAGTGAGAAGATGGCTACCCTGCCTGCCAGCTTTTTGGCACAGTATGTTTCTGCTCCAGGCTTAGCAACGGAGGATTGTGGATCCATAATCCCACTGACAACAAATCCCACTGCTGCTTTTAGCATGTCCTTCAACCCATCTCTGCCTCAGTTTCCCAGTAATTAAAGGGGGGACAATATTCCTTGATCCCCCCCGAAGGGCTCCTGAGGATTACTTTGTCAGTATTTATAGAAGCTTTTAAAAACACCATTACTGCTGTGTGCTCCCATCAGTAATAAATAGCAGTTTGGAGCTTTGACCTGTCGTGAGCTTTTAAGCAATAATATTGGTTGAAAATCCTGAGTGACTATACTGTTTTAAAAGTCTTGGTGATGTGATGATGTTAGCCAACAAGTTTAAGTCCTGGAGGAAAGTTTCTGTTGCCTGGTCAGGAGCATTGTGTGTTGATATTGAGACAGTTCTTCCTTTCAGATATGTGATACGTTGAAATATTTTAAATTGGCTTTACCCACTTCATTTTTCTCATGCAGCAGAAGACAGATGGTATCTGCAAAATACAGCAATTTTTATTCTCTCCCTTACTTTGCTTCCCATCCCATTATCTCAGAAGCTCATGTTTGTTTTGCTGATACGTAGAAACCAGGGGCAGAAACCAGGTTTCCAAGGAAAAGAGAAGTTTTAGTCTTAGCACTGCTGATGTGGGATGTGCTTCTGTCATGTAACAATTGTGGTGGGCTATCAAGGAACCACCTGAAACTCTCCTAGATAAAAAAATAATCAGTGTTGTTTGTTGTTGATGTTGGCTCTTTTTTTTTTTTTTTTTTTTTTTTTTTTTGGGAACATATTTTTTTTTGAAGACCGGGTCCAAATGTTACAATTTTTTTTTTTTGTGTTTTTTTTTTTTTTTTTTTTTTTTTCTTCTGGGAACATACTTCATTTTGAAGACCGGATCCAAATGTTACAACTTCCCAGAACTCCATGGGAGTTGCAGTTGTGGTCTGTGCGTGGCTCCTCCTTGGTGGAGCAGGCACTCACAGAACAAAGTCCTCCATCCAGAGTCAGGAAATCCCTTCCCAAGTAAAAAGCAGTCGCGGAAGATTGGCTAGTTTTTTGGTGCATGGTTGGTTAGCAAGAATTGAGGAGATAAAGTACACGAAGTGACCAATTTGCCATCCTGATGCTGGCTATATGAAGGTCCTTTACTGCAGCTTATAGCATTGTGGTTTTGTTGCCACTGTAATATCATTGCTGTGGTGCCTTGAGGTTTTGGGGAACGGAATGCATTGATTCCTGCAGTTTGTAGCACTGGTGACGGAGGCATTTTGGCTTTGCAGGCTTGCGGAAGGTCATGGTCCGTGCCCATCGGCAGGCTTGGTGCTGGCAGGACGAATGGTATGGGCTCACCATTGAGGATATCCGGCAGCTGGAGAAGGAGGCACAGTTGATGCTGGCTCAGAAGATGGCTCAGTTCTGCAGTGAAAATGATACTGAGCAGCACGGTGTCAAAGACACTCCTGGTGAGAAGGATGTTGAAGCCAGCACAGTTTCACCTGTTGACACAGAGGATGCCGCTGGTAACAGTGAAACAGGCTCTGGGAGATCACTCACCAAGCAGTGGTCCACTTCTTCCAAGTCCTCACGATCTTCAAAGAGAGGAGGTAGGGTGCTGCTGCTGACTTGCTCTTCTGAACTGCATGGAGGTTGGGCTTTTGGGAGGTAGGGCCATGCCTCCTTGTGGCTGGCACCTTTGGGACAATGGATGTTTCTCCTGTGAGTCCTTTTAACTCAGAGGTCTTCTCTGCTGGTGTTGCAGGCTCAGTCTTCTCAGGTGACACGTTTCGGGTTTGGGAATGTTTTTAGTCATCCCATGGCTGTGACTCAGTGGCACGTGGCAGAATTCTTGCCAATCTCAAAAGCAGAGGAACTATGAAAAAACAGTAGAAGAGCAGGCAGCAGCTGGCTAGCAGCATTGGGTCTCAGAAAATGACAAACAGCGGCAAAGAGAGAGTTAGACCTTGTTGCTCAAGAGCCACTGGTGGCTTTTGTAAGGCCTGGTCCTTCAGCAGTGTTCCCTTTCTGGATGTCTGCTTGTCTGCCGCAACACAGAACCGGCCTGGCTGTGGGTCACTGTTAAGTGCCTCTCGTTTTCCAGGAGGCAGCTACAGCAGGCACCCTGTGCTTCTTGGCCGGGCTTATATGCTACTACATGCCATTCATTTCAAAAGCGGGTGTTTGGCTCTGTGGGTGCTGCAGCGTAGCTCACACGGTGAAGCACCCCTGTTAGCTACTGGGGGAATTAAGGCAGGTACCCCCAAAAAAGTGGGTGGGGGCTGCTGCCTTCCGCTGATGATGATGTGCAATAGCTGTTCGGAGACCAAACCTCACGGCCTGGGATTAGGTGGGACCATGGATCGTGTTTATATTTCCTTTTAAACACCATTCAGGAAGCTTTCAGGATTTTGCTGTTAAAGCCCCCCCCCTCTACGGATACCCTGTAAGGACTCAGCTTTGAGTCCTGAATTTTGTCGTTCACCTCTCTCTAGGCAGTCACCTTTTTTTGCTGTACTAAGCTCTTCCCTTCCTCGGACCGTTCTGTACAAAGGGGCGAATCCCCAGCGAGTTACAGACAGGAGGCTTGAACCCTGAGCAATTCCCTCTCCTTTTAGTCAAGTGCAGCTGATAGCAGGGTAATAGCTCTCACAGCAAGAGGGCAAAAAAATCTTGATTTTTCTGGAAACCCCAAGAGGCAGCGTTTCTTCCAGTGACGGTGGACGGGGACATCTAGGTGAGTGAAGCTTCTCCATCTCTCATATGCACTAAATGTTGTGAGTTGAGTCTCCATTTTTATTTACCATTTCATCACGGGGTGAATGAGAGATGAGCAGTAGTTTTACCTTGTGATGACTCACTGGAGTGAGCCCCAGGGAAGAACCTACCAGATGCTTCATAAATCATTGTATAAAGATAAAAATGCTGGCTACTTTGCTTGCACCAGGATTTTATGTTGATGTGCCCGTCTCTCATTATACTCTTTGTTATGAACCCCCTCTTCCACTGCTGACATGTTCATTGGAAGCTGTAGTTTTCAGACCTCTTTGGATTTCGCTTGAAGGTTTTTACTGGTAGCAAAGCATGAATTTCTTTTAAACTGCAGAATGTCTCAGCTTTTACAAGAAAAAGTAATGAAAGAAATGAATTGTGATGTGCTGGGAAGTACGTCATGCAGATATTTTAATCCTTCTTCATGCTGGCAGCATATTAACATATGGAAGCAAAGAGGGCTGTCTCGACTTACCGCTACCTCCAGCTGAAAAAGGCAACGCCTTTTCTCCAAAAGATCTCGGTCCTTCCTATACCATCTGAGCGAGACCTCTGGTGATAGCAGGACCCTTGTCGCCATCCCATATGTTATTATATGCTCTATTTTTAGCAACTATTATGCGAGTGCCTTGACGTCACTCCAGCGTGAATTAGCTCTGCTCTGCCAACCTCCTCGCTTGCTGCTCCCGAAGGGGTGGGCGGTGGGGTGGTTGGGGGCTGCTGAGCCAATGCTGAGCTGCAATTAGATGACTCCGCACAGGGTCTCCATACTCTTTCCATATGACAACCGGGTAGCAAAATTAGAAGAATTTGACTTACAGATTTAACACCGTTACAACAATAGCATGAAACGGCTCGTGCAGCTGTCACAGCAACCAGAACCTTTCAGCGTCTTTGTATATGCTAAACGAGAATTTGTCAGTCTCCTCAGGTTTTTGCAGTGTTAGGTTAGGTGGCTGCTGCCAGCGCTTTGTGTGCGCTGTGTGACATGCAAGAACTATCTGAAAGGGGAGAAACCCTCTCTCTTGTCGTTCTCTGGACGGTGCTCCCTTCAGCAGGCGGCTGTTCTGTAACAAGTTCAGCCAGGAAGAGTTCAGGCTGGATCATTGCTAAATTATATCTGAAATTAAAAAAGAAAAAAGCTGTGCTATGTTTATATTTAGCACAGGGAACTCTGGAGGGGAAAACAAAAGGGAGCGGGTAGGTGTGAGAACAGGAGGGCAAAGAGGAACCAAGAGGAGCGTTGGGTTTTCTCCTTGCTCCGTCAGGGCAGCCGCTCGGACAGCTCCCTACGAAGTAGTTGGATAGCATGTTGTTTAAATCATTCAAGTTTAAAGTTTAAATAGATCTCTAATCCAATTTGTGTGGAAGCAATTTCCTTCCAGAAAACAGATTATTTCTATCCAGGCTGCTCTGCTTAGCTACCCACCCGAAAGTTATGCGAAGCAGAGGCATGGTTTGTGTGCTGATTAGAGGCACGAAGAAAGCTTCCAATCAGCCTGCTTCCTTCCTAATTGCAAACTTTAAAACCCAGCTGATTTTGCACGTCCTACTAACAATTATAAATAGCTGCCATTCAAAATAGCATAAGAGTGATACAAACTGCTTGCTTTAATGTAGCATCTTGCTGGCAGGTTCTAACAACAGTAAACAAACAGGATCTGTAAAGCAGTACACTGACATCACACCAGCATCATCGAGGTTTTGTGTTTTTAATATTGCAGCAGTGAATTTTCATAGAGAACACACGACTGTTTCTCCAGCAAAGATCATGTTGGGAACTCTCCGTCTTGTCGATGTAGCGTATCGCATAAGGCTTTTTTGTTTTTTCCAGCAAGTCCCTCACGCCATAGTATCTCCGAGTGGAGGATGCAGAGCATTGCCAGGGACTCAGACGACAGCTCAGATGATGAATTCTTTGATGCACATGGTATGTGGAGCCTAAATCACCATCGTTTGTTTCCTGACATGGTGGGGTAAGAGAACGGAAGGCATGAGGGTGGGGGGTGAGCGGGGAAGGAAGCGAGACTTTTTTTGCTTTGTTTGAAGTCTTTTCCTTTCTAACCAAGATACATGCAGCATCAGTGCAGCTTCTTCAAGCATCCCCAGCATCACCCAGCAGACTCTTACGTTTAACGCAGCAACATTTCGGATTCAATGTGATCTGTTTGAAGGGAGCTTGAACAGTCTTAACCTTTGGAGCTGTATTTTATTTGGTGCAACTGAGTGTGGGTAAAATTCAGCGATACTAACTGGACTGTGGGTGTGTCCTAATGACTCTGATTCAGTATGACTGGTTATTTTTCTAATTTATTTTTTAATCAGTAGGAGGTATGATTAATTGTCCTGTCTGGGTCTGAAGAGACCCAAGTTTGCCTTTATTCACTCCTTATTCTCCTATTCCAAGAAATACAGTAGTGAATGCAACAAGGTTCTTCAGGTGCCAAAATTAATCAGTGTTGATTCTGGAATTCTGAAAGTAATTTTGACTGTCTGTATTAGGAGAAAGCTGTGCATTTTTTTTTTTTTTCTGTGCATGTGTGTGTGAAGAAGCTTTGTTCCACTGCGCTCATTTTATATATTGTACTTAATGCGTATTTAAGCCTGAATGGCTCCGTCTCTACTGACAACAGATGGACTCTTCTCTCGGCTTGTAATGCTAATCTAAGTTAGATGCGCAACGTGTGCTGATGAAGTTGGTGACCTTTCTGTGAAATGCAGTCGTTAGAAGATGATGCCCCAGTTTTGTAAAGCAGAATTTCACTGATGTTCAGCTAAAGTTCAGTCTCAAAAAATTGATAGTACCATGTTCCAGAAGAGTTCTTGCAGCAAGTATTTAGGCACGCATCTCAAATTCTGGGGTAGAAAGTGGCATGCTGTTGTAGAGTAGTGACTTGCACAATAGCAGCTTAAATGGCCAGGATGCGTGCAAGTCAGGGGATGAATGTGTCTCTTGCCTGGAAGGAGAAGGGCCAACTTAGTTTAAGTGTCTCTATTTATTAACTTATGTAGCATCTGCAAAAACTATGTAAGGGATTTATTGTAGCAATATACATACAAGAAAAGAAGAGTGAGTCATTGAAACGGCATCATTGCTATCCACCCTCTCTTTTGCCTTTTTAATTACTCAGTAATAAAATTGAGATAGAGATGGCTCTGCCTGGGATCCAGGACCCCAGAGAATCCCTGACGTGCTCCTAAGAGGCCTGGAAGGAGAATTAACAAAACTGATACCTTGTGCCACAGTTGGTATCAGCACCTCTGTTGCAATACTTCTAGGAGCTTGCTAACAGAAAAAGCAGCTCCTCTTCTGCTAGAACACAGTGTGTCTCCATTTACGTACAGATTGTCCTCTGCAATCCGCACAGTCGGGTTTGAAAAGTCTGCCTAGCCTGATGGGATTTTGGCTTACGAGTTGAAGCCGCGGTGTGTGTGCTGTTCAAGCCCTCTCTTCGGGAGGGACCTCTCGTTGCCCCTTGGCCCGCAGAGGACACGTCCCAGCTCCGGGTCTGTGAGCAGGGATGAAGCACCGCTTGCAGCTCATCCTGCCAGGGAGGCTTGCGGGGTCGGTACCATGGGAACTGGCACAGATCAGGATGTGAGTCAACACCAAGCAGAGTTCCTCAGAAGTGCTTCCCATATATACACACACATTTCCTCGCAGCGCGGTGGGCGTAACTTGAGCCCGAGAAGATTTCTTGTCGCCGGCTTCCCACTCATCCTCATTCACTGGCGTACTCTGGTAAAGATAGTGACAAATACAGTAATATCTAATATCTATCCTGTAATGAATGCTAATAACGGGAGTAATATACCATTCAATGATCACTTGAGCAGCAATAAGGGCTGTAATTAAACCTCTCAAGGAAATAAGTTTAATATTTAGATTAAGTTGCTGGAGGATCTTTGAGTGCAATCTTCCTATTAATTCTCTGCCAACGTGTGTGTTGCATGCTTGTGCTTTCTACTTGCTCTGAACAGGTAGCTCCGCACTCTCTTGTGCAGGGAAATGGGGAGGTACTCGGATTTTTTCCATAGCTGAAAAAGGAAATGGCATGCTAATGCAAAGTTTCCAGGTCACTCTCTTTTTATGGTCAAAGTGTAAATAGAAACTCCTAAAAATAATTGGTCTTTGCTTGGCTCTGCAGTTAGTCCCCTTCATAGCTGAAAAAGGAAATGGCATGCTAATGCAAAGTTTCCAGGTCACTCTCTTTTTATGGTCAAAGTGTAAATAGAAACTCCTAAAAATAATTGGTCTTTGCTTGGCTCTGCGGTTAGTCCCCTTCATTTTTTTTTTTTTTTTTAAGATGTTGCTCAGATTTACTGAGAAGATGAATATATTTCATAATCTTTTTGTTTGCCATCCTAGGATTCTTCCAACTAATTATTTTCTTAGTAACTGTACAGCAACAAGAAAGGGAGAATCGTAGTCTGGGACTCTGAAGATTACAGCTTTTAGATCTTCAAGACATGTGTAATTACCACTGTTATTGTAATTATGTTTATAACTCTTTATTAAATTTACAAGCCCAAAATTTTCAGGAAAGAAATACTAAGTGCAGAACAATAAATAAATTAGAAAGCACTTAACCTCTGTAAGAATAAAAGATACATCCTCAATGTAAAAAAAGAAAAGGGGAAAAAAATAAGGAACCAGCAACCCATACCAAAGGCATCTTTGTAAGACTTGCATTGCTGCTGTTTGGTTTCCCATGGGTTCAAACAGGAGCTCCCGGGCTCTGTTTCCTTCCCAAGAACCTGCCCAGCTTGCGCTGGGTCCATGCTCGCACCTGATAAAGGAGCCATTGGGCTGCTGCTGTCTCAGAGGACCTCTGGTTTGACATAAACATTTTTGTCAGCCCTTTCTCAGCTCCAGACTGGCCGCCCTGTGTTCGGGCTTGGGCTGAGAGCGAGCTCAGCCTCTCCTGGGAGAAGTCCTCAGGTGTTGGGTAACGCAGCCCAGGCCAGCAGGCATGGGGGTGGGCGAGGTGTCCGGTGGGGGCACTGGGATGAATTCTTCCAGTGCTAGGGCTGCTAATGGCCTGTTCAGCGATGCCTCCGCAGGGCTCAGCTGCTTGTTTCCCTGTGGATGTACCAGCAAAGGCCCGTGGACAGGCAAGGCTGGACTCCTGCCTGTGTCAGGCTCTCCCTGCGGTGAATTAAGGCTCTGCAGCCCAGCACCATGTGGTGTGGGCACAAAGCAGAAGCCTGCCTTCCAGTGTCACCTGCCTGACAGCCCTCCTTTCTCCCCTAACCTGGCATAACTCCTCCGATGTCTGCTATAGAGCAAGGTTATTAATCTTTCTTACGTTTGGATACTACTGTGGGGTGTTTTATAGGGTCTCTCCTTTATACGTCTCTTCCTTTTAATTGCACTTCTAGGAACATAATATTTTCAGGACCCTGATTCTTTAGTAACTGTAGTTGAACTGAGCCAGGGGATTGAGAAGATCCCGAAGTAGGAGGGAAATGGCAGACACATGCACTCAGTGTGATCAAACAAGTCTCATCTCCTAAGGAAATCAGGCTAAAGATAGCCTAGAGAGTTCACGTTTCCTTTATTACTCATGCCTTTTTTAGGTATTTGGTTCTATTAACAATAGTGATCCTTGTCACTGCTTCCCCCAAAGACATCCCGCAGCTTTCAAACAGATCCGGGAGGATCCCAGCAGCAAACGTTGCTTTGTCCTCTCCTGTACTGGTGCATTCTGGCTGCTTTAGCATCATCAGAAAGCATGGCAAGAAAAACATCAAACTTGGTACCTGAAATGGTTGCATTAAAAGAACACTTTATTTTTTCCACACTTTAGGAGTTTTGTTTGTTAAAAATACGCAACTAAAATATCTTGTTTACTTTTCAAAAGGTGCTTTGGTTTCTGTATAACAAAAGCTGGTAAAGTATCATGTTATATTATGACTTAAGCCATCCAAGTGTTATAAGATTACATAGAGTTATGGGGCCTTTTATTTAAAATTCTGTTCTCTGCTCTTGTCTGTATACATATTTGTGTGTGTGTGACTCTCAAAAAATCTGTTTTTTAAAGAGGACTTGTCTGACAATGAGGAAATGTTCCCGAAAGAAATAACCAAATGGAGTTCCAATGATCTGATGGATAAAATTGAAACCCCCGAATGCGATGATGTCCAGGGTAATTTTTTTTAAGTAAAAACTGCATGTGATATTTTACAGTATTTCCAGGCAATTGTTACAGCCACTTTCTGAAAAAGGTAAAAATTGTTATCCTCATCTCGCAAAAGGAGAAGCTGAGACAGAGTATAAAAATGACTGCCCATTGCTGCCGAAAAAGAATTGCCCAGTGGGAGTTGGGATAGCTCTTGGTTCGCTTTTATTTTCCGCATTGGTTAGGCTCCTTTGTGCGACAGCCAGGATTCACTTGTATAATGATGAAATATTCCAGCTCCGTCTTGAATGACTTGAATTTCTCCTGACTCTTCTTTCCTCTTGCTCCATTCTTTCTTCTTGTCTGTATCTGCCTCGCTTTTATTTTCTGCTCATTGTTATGAAATTTTGAAAGGAAGCTAGCTCCTCAGGCAGATGAATTCATGTAGCAGCACAGTGGAAGATAACACTTAGGCTTTCTGGTACAAAGTCGGTCTGTGTAGGCACAGACGTACGAACCCATCAGATCTCTGCTCCCCCAGCATAGTTCAAGCAATTCCTTTTCGTCTCCCACAAACCAATCGTTTCTGACAATTGTGCAGGGATTTCCCATTGTTGCCATCCTTAATAAAGCAATGATACCGAATTGCTGTAGTGAGAGAAGAGCTTGCTGATGTTCTCAATGCTTACTGAGGCTATGAGAAATTGCTGGAAAATAAGTGACCCAGCATTGCCCAGGCTTCTCAGGCAGAAGGAGGCGGGAGGGAGGGAGAGAGAGAGGGCAATTTGATGAAATAATTGAGGAGATGTGAGGCAGAAGAGGCTGAGAGGCATTGGCACAAACAGTGTCTTTATGGAAGAGTGTCTTTGCCAAATAGCATCTTGCAATGTTGACATTTTAAACCTCTGTGCTTCCAGGTGACTTGTATCACGAGACATCAGCAGAGTACCACGTTGGCTCCAGCGTGGAGAGGCTCAGCATCATTGAAGTAAGTGCTTCAGTTTCTTGTAACGAGATCCTTTGTTGCTGGAACGTGTCCGTGTGGGGTAAATGGGGTAAACGGCTCCCTTTGCTGTGAGCAGTGTATTGTCTTTGTGTGTCATTCGGAGCCACGCTGGCATGCTGTGTACATGGCTAGGTTTAGGGATTATTTCACCTGTCCTTTGAACATCATATAGAAAATGCTCTGTAGTTTGCAGGCAGCATCAGGGATCCAGCTGGAAAAAAATACTGATTCTGTAGGAATAGCTGCAGCCTGAGGCACTGCTGGGTACAGCTATCCTGCTAATGCTGGATGAGCTAAGTGGACACGGGAGCAGGAGAGCCGCATTACTGCAGCACCAAGGTGCAGGCTGCGGTGATCCAAGGGACATAGCTCAGCTGTAGCCCTCTCTTTGGAGCTGCTCAGGGTCTTGTTTGGAAACCAGTTATAGCATAGCCTGTGTCAGTGCTCTGGAGAAAATAATAAATAAATAGTAACACACCCAGCCTGGCTTTCTAGACTTGCATATACAGGCTTTTGCAATTCGGTGTCCTAGCGAGACAGTGCATCTTGGAGTGGCTGTACTCATCCTACCCTTAAAGCATCTGCCTGTCTGTGCTGCAGAGATGATGTAGCTGCTTACAGAGTGCCTAAGTTACGTCGTGGTCTATCAAAGGCCATGAGCGTGGTTTTGGTATTACTCTGTGTGCCAGGCTGTAAGTTCATGGTAGTTTGGCTTTTTCGTAATTGACAGAGCTCATAGCGTGTGGCTGGGGATGGGAACGGCTTTAGCCACTCAAGATAAGCAAGTCACGGCCCTAAGATTTCTCTTAGGGCTCAAGATGGTGTGGAGAACTTGTCTTCTTCAGAGGGCTGTACAAACTCAACCCCCTCCCGTTTCTGCCTTCATTTTAGAAAAAGAACAGACTTCAAAGTGGGCTGGAAAAGTCTGTTATTTGTAGTTGTTCACAAACAGTCTACTAAAATAGTATGAAATTCCTAGCCACCATTGCAGTGATTTTCAGGTTCACAGCCTCCATCACCAAAAGTTAGTTCAGGAATCAGGTGTCTTAAGAGATTCCAGATCTTACAAGGAAGTTCTAAGTAGCCACCTCCACCCTTAAGCTAATCAGCAGTTGTTTGCATTTTCCCCACTTCCTTCAAGAGCAGAGGTTAATGAACTGAAAGGGAAAGGTGCCTGCTGATAAACTTCTGGATGACCTGAGCTTGGTGACTCACGTTGCTCTCCAAATGAGCACTTAAAACATTTGTCTAAAAGCGAAAGTGGCGCTGAGATGCTGAGCGCGCTCCTCCCATGCCTTCAGCCAGGCAAAAGTTCACTTTGTAGGCGCTGTAAACGGGAATCAGAGAAGGTTTAGAGCAGGCATTAATACAGTGTAATGGTACTAAATAATTAAAGGCCGTTCTTATGCAGGAGGTCTGGAAAATCTTTATTAGAGACTTGGATGTGAATTTCAATGCTTCCGTTGGCTGCGTATTAAGACATGCTTTAACGTTATCTGGTAAAAATGTAAGCTAGTTGTTAGGTTGCTAACCTGTGCCTGGGCCTGCTTGCCTCCCACCAGCAGGTTTGTCCGGGGCTCAATCACTGCTCAAAGGACAACAGGTGACTAAAGATGCTAAAATGAGAAGAATTTTGCCAAATGGAAAATACTGCTGCCCTCCACCCCTTCCACACCCCCTCCCAGCGGCTATTTCTTTGCCTCAACAGGGAGTTGCCCAGGATGTTATCGAATGTTGTCTCTGCTATCACAAGGGATAAGGCACAGGAGGAAAGATCAGTACCTGATTTCACATATCTCAGAGGTGTCGGGATGGGGGATTTGAGTCCATATGGGAGCTGTAAACACTGAAAGCCCTGGTAGCAAATAGATATTAGAAATAGCTACTGCTCTGCTGTGTTATAATATGCGACCAGTACAAATGGATGTTCTTGTACCTGCTCCTGGGGCATCAGGATTGGGCTTACAGCTGTTCTGGCAGGGCACTTAATGATAACCCACTCTGGAGCTCAGATACAATTCCCTCCTTGCCCCAAACTACAGCTTGTCTGTTTAGGCAAGGAATTGATTCAACATAATAACCAAAAATAAAAACCTTTACTGTGTTCATGCGGCAGTCTCCCAGCCAGATGTTGGCCAGTCCTTGGGTCATGGGGTCTTGAAGTTTTTTCTTTTCGGTTCCTTTTCTGCAACAGCATAAGCAAATCTGTAGTCTTATTTATAACTTCTGCCGTAGGCAAACCGCTGCAATGACTGATCTCTTCCCCAGTAACTTGCCACTTGCTGACCTGTTTGATCTTGTTTGTTAATTTTGCTGAATGTGTTTTACTGTCAACTGCTGCAGCTGAGCTCAGCACCCCAATAGAAAGCAACACCCATCTTTTATTTCCTTTTTTTTCCGCCCTAACGCACAGAAGTAATGTCTTTACTGCTGCTGTGTTTTACCTGGTTACAATTTTATGCAGGTTTTTTTTTTTTTTACTTTCAGCATTCCTTCTGCTTAGGACAGTCAGTTACGCTGAGGCTGCGTGCCTGCATTTGTGCATGCACATGTGTAGGATAAGAGACCTGGAAGAAGTAGTTGGGTTCTCAGCTGTTTTATCCAGGTGTATCTAATGCCCACTTCCATAAATTAAGCACGTGAACAGTTTAGTTCCTTACCCACAAACCTGCAGATATTATTCTAAAACCTCATCTCCTGTGTTTAGAAACCTGATTTTCAGTCTACACTTATTCAGGATCAGTTTAGACTCTTGTGCTTTAGCCTGCACTGTGCTTTGACTTAAGTGCCTCTCTTCCCTCCCTAGCTTTCTTTACTCATCTCCACTGTGTTTGAGAGCAGGCATTTCATTCTCGGGTAGCTTTGCAAAGCAAATCAAGCTGAACTCTCAGTCTCTGTTCAGAAAGTCTCCGTGTTTCTTGTCCTTTTGTGGTCGTCCTCACACTGCAATTATCTTCGTGTGTGGATGGCCCAAACTGAACTCAGCCTTGTAGATGGGGGCTTGCCAAGGCCATGTATCATGGCTAATACTGTTTCTGCTGGAAAGACCTTGCTTCACAGACTGTTGTTTGCCTCATCCCTGACTGGACTTGATTGGGATAGTGCATTTATTGTACGCACCATGTGTGAGCTTGGGGAAGAAAAGGTGATAAAATTTGCATAAAATGCACTTGGACCAAATAAAACCTCTTTGCAAAATAAGCCTTTCTACTGTGCTGTCTTTCATTCCCACCTAGGATGAATCAGTGCAGCCATTAATGCAGCCAAGTAAAATCCATGTCCTCCTCTTGGTACTTCATGGAGGGAACATCCTGGACTCAGGAAGTGGTGACCAGAGCTCTAAGCAAGGGGATGTCAACACCATCACGACAGTGTTTGACACAGTGATGAGAGTGCATTACCCAGCTGCTCTTGGACACATTGCCATCAGGCTAGTCCCTTGCCCAGCCATCTGCTCCGAAGCATTTTCGCTGGTGTCCAGGTAAGTTGATGTTACTTTGTCACGGAGAGAGGCGTATAAAATTTCACTCTTGGGTTTTGGGTTTTTTTATTTGCTTCCCTGAAATGTTCTGCATGTAGTATTGAAAGCTCTGACCACGCTTTGAGAATGCACTTATTAATATACTAGCGAGGCATTCAATCTCGATTTCATACTTAGCTGCAGTGAATACAGTAATCATGCAGCAAGAGTTCCGAGATTGATTTATTCTAATTAATCCAATAAATACTAAGGCTTTAATTACTTGTCTGAGGGTTGTTTTGTCAATGTAAGTATGTTGTCCTTGAAGATTTACGTTTGATGGGAAGGAAAGATTTATTAAGCTCTCACCCATTCACAGTAGAATAAATGGCCTTTCTATCTTGAGGCTTTCTTTTAATGAACGGCTATACTGACTGTACTGTCTGCAAATGGTTTTCCCCGCTCTGTATGTTAGGCTGAATCTTCTCAATGTCTCTTGCCCTATCCAGCCTCAGCCCATATAGTTATGATGAAGGCTGCCTGTCCAACAGCCAGGATCACATTCCCCTTGCTGCACTCCCTCTGCTAGCAACATCATCCCCGCAGTACCAAGAAGCGGTAGCCACAGTCATCGTCAGAGCCAACCAGGCCTACAGCGAGTTCATCAGATCCCAGGAGGGCATGTCATTCAACGGCCAGGTGAGCCAGCGGCTGTTCATAGCCACAATGAAAGGAAGAGCAAGTGAAGCAACTTCCTTCTGAAGCTCTCTTTTTCCACTAATCTCTCAGGAGGGATGGAAACATGAGTGTTGAGCTGCAATAAGAAAGTGTTGTGCTTCCATTTCTTTCTTTCTGAGAGAGATTATTGCTTATGCTCTGTCTTGAACCTTTGGGATTCAAGCAAAGTCTGAGCTTGTATTCATAAATGAAGCTACAAAGCTGTGAAGTTAATCAGTTTTCAGCATGACACACCTTTCCAAATCAGGAATGCTACCTTTGTTACTAAACATGATCTCCACTCCCATTACAAACCAAGGCTGTTTAAGCATTCCCGTCTTCAAAGGAGCTTTAGGAGCTCATGCTGGAGTTGTCGTAGAAGTGGGTTTCTTTTTTCAAACTCCGCAGCTGCTGCACCCCATAAAAGACCATGACTGAGCCTCACACCTCTGTGAGCAAAGTGACTCTCTAGCCGTGTTTGAGCTGTTGGACCAGCTGTCACATTGCGCTGCTGTGCTGTGATTTATCCACCCTGAGCTTCTTCCCAGCCAGCGCTGTGCCCAGGGACCCAGACAGCCCTCTCCTGCCCAGGGCTCTCAGTGCTTTATTGTGTCTCTCTGCTCAGTGCCCTTGGAGGCAGGACAGTGTTCGGGTACAAACGGGGCAGAAGCGCAGGGAAGCTTGCCTGAAGTAGCACGGGCGGCTGGCAAGGAGGGAATCAAGCTTGGTTTTCTGAGGCTGGAGTTAGCGCCGTGATCAGTGCTCTGTATTGCTTTCACTTCACTCCAGTCGGCTGGTGGGGACAGCTAGAACACATTAGCTATGTTAGCTAATGAGAATCTGCAGGGTATGAGTGGACGTTCATTGACAGAATAGTTTAACTGATGAAAGCACTGGGCATCCTGTTACTGCAGCTTTCCTAAGTATAATCCAGCACTCTGTTTAACTTTCATCTCTGAACTGAAGTCAAGGTTTTGTTTTCTTTTGTTTTGTTTTGTTTTTTACCTCGTCCCCTGCTTCTGTTGCCTTTTTCAGGTCTGCTTGGTAGGGGACTGTGTTGGAGGAATCCTGGGATTTGATGCCTTATGCTACAGCAATCAGACTGTGTCCGAGAGCCAGAACAGCAGTCGGCGAGGAAGCGTTGTGAGTGTCCAGGTAATGCTGGCTCCTAGGGTCTACTGGGAATAGGTCTGCTGGCCGCAGCACCTCCATGGCCCCTGTTTTTAGTAAGGATCTCTTCATGAAACAACAAAGACTTTATTCCTTATCGATGGCAAACGTGTCTTAAGGTGCATATGTGTCTCAATTTGCATGCATTTGCTCTGAAAAGGGAGGCTTCACCCTCTGGTGTGAAGCCTCACCCACACCCTTAGGAAGTGGTTTCGTCTGAGATACTGTATTGCCCTCAACTGGGTCTTGGGGTAGATGGGGAAAGGAGGATGGAAGGAGAAGGTTATAATGTGGGTGTATTCCTGATTCAGCTGTCGGAGTGCTAAATCCGTATATTTCAAATCCCAGGATACGGACCTCCTGTCTCCTGGAATAACGGTGAACAACAGCTATTGTTCCAGTGGCTCTAATCTGGAAGCCAGCAGACACCTCAGCAGGAGCAACATTGATATTCCCCGTAGCAACGGAGAAGATCCAAAGAAGCAGCTGCCACGAAAAAGGAGTGATTCATCAACCTATGAACTGGACACGATAAAGCAGCATCAAGCCTTTCTTTCAAGGTAAGATTTTGAAGGAACAAAACCAGCAATATTCCGGAGCCGAGATTGGTGCGTCTGTGAAACCCGAATGTTGCTTTGTCATCCTGTGATAAGCAAGGTGGAGGAAAGCATTTAATTTAGATTATAGGGGTATAGATTTTGGTGTGTTGTAGACGCAAAAAAAAGTAACAGCACTAGAATCCAGCTGCTCTGCTGCATCTGTATTACAATGGCAAGAAACCCTTCATCCTGTTGCTTGACAGATGAGGCAGTTGGGTATCTGCATTTTTGCTGTGCTGCAGTTGCAGGATGGAGATCATAAAGCAAATGTAGAAATAGCGTGAGGGAAGAGGGTGAAGCAGAACTGGGAATCCAGTGTTCTTTTAATTTCAAAGCATCTCTGAAAGCTGATTTTTGAGTTGGCTGGCCTGTTCTTGAAGGTGGGGGTGAGATGGGTATCCTTTAATTTTGGCCTAGTTCAAGTGTGAGATTGAATTGCAGTGCCCTTTCCTCTCGCAGGAACAGGTTTATGTTGTCATGGTGGCAGGATGCTCTGGATGAGACATCCTGAACCTTAGCTGGTTGGCTGGTTCATGGAGCAACCTTCAGCTGCACGTGAGGATTGTTCTGTCTGCGTGACTATTTGGCAAAGAGACCCGAGTCCCCTGTGTGGAGCTGGGACAGGGGATTGTGTTCTGTCCCCTGCCAGGGCTGCTCCATTGCACCAAGGTCATGTTTCAAATTTGCTACTCGCTATCGAAGCTCCCAATATCGCATTCCTAAGCTTCTTCAAATGGACTTTCAGAAACTTCTCTGTTAACATAACCGATGAAATTTTCATAGCAGTCTTTACATTGCTGCTGATTGTTCAGGGATTACTTCTGTAAGCCCGGAGGCGTTTTCTGACAGAATCATCTTCTTCAGCCTGTGGCACTGGACAGCGCAGACTTTTTCCTCCTGCAGGCCCAGAGGAACTGTAACATCCTCTTAATCCCTCTTCCCCCATGGCCCAGGTACTGAGCAGCAATGTCCTGCCCAGCAACCACCATTATCTGCATTGCAGCTGTGCCAAAAGCTGTTCGTTTTGCCCTGTGCCGAGCTGAAGGCTCCTGCACTTCTGCCCCTCCTTCACTCCCGCCACTCGTTGCTCCAGCACAGGGACTCACGTTGCCATCTGAGGGGCCCTTTTGTAAAAGACTCGTAAGATAGAGAAAGTAGCAAAGTGAATGTCGTCGGTGCACAGAGATGCTATGTTCAGAAGGACAGCTGCATTTACAAAAACCACAATAAGCTTCTCTGCTATTTCCAGCAGGTTAATAAAAGGCAATCAGTCTGTTGTTCTTACCTTATCAAAACAGCCCCCTGTATTACAGGAGAAAATAAGAGTCGTGCAAAAATGTGCTCTTTCTCCTCCTTGTTCTTGACCTCAGAGGCACAGACTCCGCTAAGGAAAGTGGGCTGGCATCTTGCTGCAGTTTTACATCTAGCATCTAGTTTAGAACAAGCACTGGGCCTGGCATGGATAAGGGATTGCAGTTTGTTGTTTCAAATAGCTTTATCCGAGTCCCTCCTGCTCCATTGTGCCTGCTCCCCACATGAAGCACCTGGGGGGAGCCTGGCAAGGACTGTCGGTGTTCAGTGCGCTGATGGATTGGTGCACCTTTACTTCTTTTAGGGTTTTATATCTTTTTTAAATCTACCTTTAGACCTTGGGTCAAAAATGCATCTCTCCCCATGGCTCAAGAGCAGGATTCCCTCAGGGAAAGGGGAGGGTTGAAGCTGCTGTACAAGCTCTCTCCACATCTCTCCCCCTCCGGTCCCTGGTGCAGGGGAGGCTCCGGCACAGTGATTCACCTCTTCCCCTCCTGCACGACGGCAGGGCGTCACACCGGGATCCGGCCCTGGACCTTGTGCTTACAGCCGTCATTACTGAGCAGCACAGTCATCAGCAGAACGCCCCTTCGGCCTCTCTGTCACTAAGTAATGATTTTCCCATACAAAAACCAAGCCCTGATTTGACGCGGCTTCGTGCAGGAGATTGGCAGAACAGAGCCAAGTTTTCCTAATGGGCTCAGCAGACGGGCAGCCTGGCATATGGGGGCCTTTCTGTCCGTGCCGATTGCAGATTTCAACTTGTGCCAAAGACGCTCATTTTTATTCATGTATCAGACCTACCCGCTTCCCTGGGATAATGCCCAGCAAGCCAGAGCAGCATCTGGAGATTACAATCACACATTTATTTTTAAATTCAGTCCTTCTGTACAACTACATTATTTCTGGCTCTGCTGTACTTGTATTATTGTAAATGAGTTGATTTGCTTCTGAAATCCATAAGATCTTGTTTAATTAATGCACACAGTACATCTGCTGCTTTTTAAAGGGAGAACGGGGCACTGTAGGTTGCTTGGAGCACGACAGATTCAGAGTTCCCCTTGGCTCTCATTTCTTTTGATTGCTAAAAAGACTATCAAGTTCCCAGTAAAAGGAGAGAAGCTGTCCAAATTGCTCAGCAGTATGAGTGCTCTCATTCTCTTCCATTCCCCACGAAGAGATGCCATGGAAAGATGAGTGGAATACTCCCAAAATCCCTTGCACCCGTCCTGCCGTAGCATATCTGCCATCAGGATAGTCTTTCCTTTTGTGCCTTTGTTTGAACGACGTTGCTGTCGCCCTGTCTTCGGCAAAACTGAACATGTTCTAAATAACTTTGTATTCCTTACACACAGCAAACTTAATGCATTGCAGTCTTGTCAGCTAAAATAATTGTAGCTTCACTGAAGGTGGCTTGTTTTTAAATGTGTTTCAGCATTACGCATCTTGGCAGTGTGATCTTGGGGAAGCTCGTTCACATCACAGAAATGGGAATGTGCTCATTTTAGCTGTCACTGCTGTAACCTCCTGTTCCTCTCGCTTTTGACATCACTGTTTTGATTTTCCATGATACCTATGTCTGGCATAAGTAAGCTTGTTATTTCCCTGCGGTTGGTAACCAGGAGAATAGTACTGCTTGCATGCGTGCACCTTTAAAGAATACATGACAGTGGGGGATGAGAAGGTTTTTTAGCATCCTTTGAGAGTGGCGGTCAGCAGTGCATCTCTGGGGTGATGCATTCTTTGCCAAAGCAGGAAACAAAGTCCAAGTGAAACCCATTTTTTTTCCTAAATTTGTGAGTATTTGCAGCTGCCCATTTATTGAACGGCTGTCCCAGAGGAGGAGTGTGTGTGAGCAACTGCTCCGGTGCTACAGATGGTGGGGAGTGAGTGCCCTATTTCCATGAGCGCAGCAGCGCTGGGACGTCGCTGCCCAGCCGGGCAGCCAGCATGCTGCGTTCAGAAGTGGCCTTGATGAGCAAGTGCTATTGCATACAGAGACACGGCAAGTGCTGGTTACCACCTGGGATTTTGACTTGGGGCCACAGAGCTGGCAAGAGACTGTTGCATTTGCATCATCCCTGACTCCAGACCAGTAAACCTTTTATCTAGCCCAACTGTTGTGGTATCTGTTTATCCTACATATTTTATAGAACCTGGTCAGATGCTTTTTAAAGCGTTTGCAAACACCCTGTTCAGTCACTGCTGGTATTCTGTGTTCAACTCTCCGCTTCTAATTATAATGACGATAACCCGGCAAGGCTGCTGCCTGAATCTGTAGAACCTGCAGAGCAGAAGGAATTGCAGCTTACTGCTTTTAGATGATAACACAAGAATCTCAGAAACCCTTTTGTGAACCAGGTTATTAGTGTTACCCATCTGTCACTTCGCTGTCTAATCCCAGATCTAGACTGCAAAGAATCACTGCTTCTTAACATGGGGGTGGATACCCAGGATTTTTCATCTCCGAGTTCCTGCTTCTTCTCCCTCGGTGTCTAAGCATTATGTGAATTTAAATCTCTGTGTTAAACCTGTGTATTGCCCAGCCTGCACTGCACGCAGGTTCAATTTTACAAAGAGATTTGACACCTGAAAGGGGGGGAGGGAAGCTAGACATGTTTTATATCATTATTCTTTTTTAAGTACAGTTACCTGGAATTGTTGGGCTGGGGTTGAGAAGTAGTTTGATAATAACTTGACAGACATGGCCTCATGGGCAGAAGAGAAGTGGGAGAGTCCTGGGTGCACGATAAATACAATTTACCATATGGCCACTGAGTTAATTACCCCAAATTCCCATTCCCAGTGAATGCCATATACCTGCATGGAAGCTGTGGTGCAAACTTGGTGCACAAGTATTTTAGAAACCCTCTTGCAGATTTTGATCTTTCTTCTTCTCTCTCCTCTTCCATTTTCTTTTTCTTTTTCCTTTTCAATCCTATAACGTTTGTCCAACTACTTCCACGAGGAAGAAATGGGTAAGCACAGCTTTCCGTAACATTTGAGAATAAGGTGATGGAAGGAACTCAAATGTTGACAATCAGAAAGCGTAGCAGGAACGTGTGTAATAGAGTGAATCACTGTAAGCCTACTTTTTTCCCTGCTACTCTAGTAATTTTGGCTTGCTGGTTATTTTATCTTGCAAATGACTATTCTGCTAGCAGCAACCAAGATTTTGACTCCTCAAAGAAAAACCATTTTGAGATGGGAGTGTGTAAATGAACCCACTTGAAGCTTGGATTTGTACAGTGTAAATTATGCCAATGAAATGGGGTGGTTGTTTGGGGGGATGTTTTACTGGCCAGTAAAACTACAGTACTGAGGCATGGTGGGTTGATTGGCACAGTTCCTTCACTAAAGAGATAGAAATTATATTCACTGTCAATTGCTTATCTGGCCTTCAATTATGAAAAAACAGCGTGAATAAAATTTTGACTTTATTTTCTGTTCTTGTCCCAGTTTACATTCTAGTGTGCTGAGAAATGACCCAGGATCCAGGCGATCTAGTAGCTCTACTATGTTGGATGGAGGAAATATTGGAAAGTTTGAATTTGAGGTCACTGACTTCTTCCTCTTTGGTTCTCCCTTGGGTCTGGTTCTTGCACTGCGAAAAACTGTCATTCCGGCTCTTGACAGTAAGTCCCGATGTAAACTGCTGAGCTCACTTAGTGGATGGTGTAAGCACCTCCTACTACAAATCCAGTCATTTGATGAGACAAACTGGTAAAACCCAAACGTTTATGTAAAATATTTATTGCACTGTAACGAAGCAGATCACTGTGTGCTCTAGCCAGTACTGATTATACAATTTATTTGCAATGTACTTCCAAGCATTAAAATACTGGGCAATTCTTGAGTCTATAAATATTGTTGTAAATTCTTTCAATTGACTAAACTGGAAGATGAGGGAGATGATAAATCCTTAGCACTTTTTTTAACCCAACAGTTGTTCTTTTTATAAACAAATATTTACAATGTTCTAACACATAACCTTTTGATACTTGAGGGGTTTTTTTTCTTCATCTTTTTAGTCTTTCAGCTCAGACCAGCTTGTCAGCAGGTCTATAACCTGTTCCACCCTGCAGACCCATCTGCTTCACGCCTCGAGCCTCTTCTGGAGAGGAAGTTCTACCTTTTGCCCCCCTTTAATATTCCCCGTTACCAGAGGTTCCCACTGGGTGATGGCAATTCTGCTGTTCTGGGTAAGTCACTTTGGATCCATATTACCTGTCTGAAGGTTTACATCCACACTTCACATGAAATTATCAAAGCAATTGGGAATGACAAGAAAGAGAATTGGCCCTATATTGTTAGCTTTATTCCCGGTTTACGAGAAAAGTAGTTTTCTTCCAACAAAATCAGTGCCTTGTGACCCATATGCCCTTCGCTTGTCACACAAAGGCCATCAGCTGCTGAGAGTCATGATGTGGTGACCTCTCTGTGAAGGTCCCTGTCTTACACCCAAGCTGGTGCTTGTGGTTGGGACTGAATGAAACATGATTAACTTGGCTGAGTTTAGGACTTTGATGTTTGGAGGGCCAGTGAAGACTGGAAGGAGCAGAGTCAACAGTGAGATAATGAGATGATTTACTTGGTTGTAACCTGTGCTTTTTCATGGGACAGGCTACTGCAGATTGGTGGGCTGGTGACAGTGCCTTGCCACCTTGCCAGTGAGACACTTTGTCTTCCTAGGATACCTAGGATTCCTCTGCCATCAGTGACCTCTTCACTTGCTCTGCCCCAATTGCAGCAGTAACAAAGTCTGAAATGGCTGTGTGCATGCCCTTTTGTCTTACTGGGTTGCATTTAAAACAGCTGTGTCCTGACCATGGCCTGCCTCAGCTCCCATTACATCAGTGCTCTTGCAGTTGATCTAATAAAATAAATTATATTTCCTACCATCTTCACCTCACTTCTGTGCCTAGACTCTCATGGTCTGCTGCCATTTCAATGCAGGCTCTCATTGCAAGGAGCTCTTGGGGAAGCTCACCACTGTGCAGAACTAAATTTGACCTTTCTGCTTCACCTAAAGCTTTGGTTCCCTGCAGGGTCAGGGCTTTGGAGCAGGAAGAAAAATTGTACCATAATTTTTCCCTTGTTAGAGGTTGTTAGTCAATGGCTACTTAAAGCCAACGTTGCAACTAAGAGTTGCCACTATAAAACTAGATTTACAGCACACAAAAAGTCATGCTGGCAAACCAGAGTAGAATATCAAAGCCACCAGCTAGAAAGGCTGGGATTTGGTGGTTGTTTTTTTCCCAAAGCTCTGGTAGCTTTCCGTTTGTTTAATATTTGAATCATGCAGGACTAAATGAAGAGGAATAGGTACCTAGAGCTGAATAATCCTGGTGATACTCTGCATCATTTTTGAATTGAAAATGCAAAGCAGGGGTCTCCTATGTACCAGTATCTTTAAAAATTGTATTGTAGTTGCTGAATCTGGAGGTCTGATTTGTTAAATGGATATAAACTAAAACCCAAGTTTAATAAAGCGAATAAAATACTTTCTACAGGCCCCACTCACTTGTCAAATTTAGCAAAGATCTTGCTGCAACACTTTTAAAAAATGGATCCACCCACAATTACATTTGTACCCAGTCCAGTTACAACAGCTCAGCGAATCTATAGCAACTTGAAAAGCAATTTGATTTTTGGGTGTATTCTAGGTATCAGCTGCAGGTGGCTTCTTTAAAAGAAAAAAAATCCTAAACACCTCACCTTCTTTCTCTTAAACACATTTCAAATCCCCTGTTCCCACTGAAGCCAGAGGTAGAAGCCCCGTTGGCACTGAGCAACCTGCGTTCTAGTTATCATTCTGTGCAACAAGCAGGGATCTTATTAGTTTGCTGTGCCTCCCTAGACCTTTGTTGAGTTGACTGTGTTTAGAGAGACACTTGCTATGTAGTGGAGAGGAGTTAAACAGCAATTAGCTCAACTATGAGAAGGGTAGAGTGATTTCAAAACCCTCTCCATGCTGCTCTGCTGTGATGAATGAAACTGAGAAAAAAGCAGCTTTAAATTCTATTCTCGTGTAAGACAAAGCCTCTTCGTTTGCTTATCGTAAAGTAACAGGCTATTCCTTTCCATTAGAGTCAAAATTTCAGTGTTGTGATTTACACATTACCCAGAAGGACTGTTCTAACTATGATTTGCAAAGCTGCTACTGAAGTTAGTGTTCACTGTAAGGCGCTCCAGAGAAGTTAATTGCTGCTATAATTAAGCTATATGATTTAGTGATCACGTAAAATTCAGGTGCTCAATTATAATTAGTGATGTACAAAACCATCTGTAAGACTGCTTGTGCATATTTCCTCGTGCAGATAGCTTTTTTTAAAGTCCACGATTCAGAAAGCCTCTTAGGCTTTTTTTTTTTTTTCTTTTTCCCATCTGTACTAAATGTTGGGTCCCTGTTTCATTACAACCAACTTGCAGAGTGAAATCAAATTCACATCCCTGCTTACTCCTGTGCTGTGCACTGTGTAGGCTGTGAGTCCGATTCACGTAAATCTCCCCTTACACCATATTTTTTCCCCCTTGTAGTAAAAAGATTTCTCTGGATCTGCTGGGTATTTATGCATTTGGCTCACTGGAGAAGCTGGTTAAGAGGACTCCCTTTTCTTGTTGTTGAAATGCCATCGTTGTGCTCTCTGCTACCAGTTAATCTCTCTGATGTGGGTCTATTTGGAAAGTCACCCATGTTTTGTTTCTTTCACTCTATTTGAAGGTTGTCTTTTCATTGAAGACTCATAGTTGAAGTGCTCGGTTGTAACTGTTCGTATGTTAACACTTCGTGGCCGCATGTCTGTTGTTCTTTGTCCTTCTGTTTTGTTTTTTTTTTCCCATCTGCTTCTAGTTGAGACAATCCAGAACAATCCCATCCTCCTCATGGAAAGTAGCCCTCTGGGTGCTCTCCAGCACCAGGACAGCTTCATGGAAACAAGTATCCCCGTTCCCGTACTGAATTGGCAAGATGTTTCCAATAAAAGTGCTGGTTTTGCTGAGTGTGTGTAATCTACACTTTTGTATTGTCTATGGTGTTGGGGACTTGGGGTGCTTTTTGGAGATCATACTGTTGCCTCCTGGAGTTGAAATCTTCATGCAGTGTCTCAGGCTGTGCCACATGAAATAACTACTTGGGATCATGCTTGGGTATACCCGGTCTGGGAGACCCACCATGCAAAGGACGAGTTGGGATTACAAACTCTGTCCCATTCCAGTGTTGATGCTGGAAGGGGAGACTGCCGCCACGTACTTACTTTTTTCCATCTGTAGTGGCTATGCTGCTGGAAGTAGGCTTTGACACAGCAAGATGGAGTCCCTGGGTGGCCCTGCTCGTGCGGTGTACACCGTGGGAACGGGTTGATTGTCTGCAGTGTGTGTCTCCCCAGCAGTCAGCCATGCTGCACCGTGGCCAGAAGTCTAATTAATGTCTGTGTCAGAACAGATTTTGTCCATTTGAGTATTTTGTGTTTGGAGATTCCTTGTGGCTCTGCTGACTACAGTGAATGAGGCTTTCAGACCCCAAGGTGGCTATACATGTTGGCTTTTAAAAATTGATTTCTTGACTTCTGCCTTAAAAGCAAAGTTTAATGCATTTGTTTTGCCTTATTTTCCATCATAAATGCTGCATGGCCTCATTTATTCTGGTTGTGGCTGGTGCTACATCTGTGATTTTAATGAGACTTGACTTTGGTTTAGTTTTTTCTTCCCTGTGTGTCTTACTTGCCCGTTGTCACCCCTTTTTCAGTGTTTTGCACTGAGAGCTTGGTTCTGCTGCCTTGTTGTCTTTAACATGCTGACCCTTGCTGTTTATGAGCAGTCCAGTACGTTATGTGGTCATACAGGATGGCAACATTGCTGACTATTCCAGATAGTCTCTCCCTTTGTCTTTTGAAGATGCAGATGTTTTTTAGGTATGCAGTTGCCATGTTGCCTGTGCCGTGATGTTCTGTAACAAAGCAGAAGGAAAGGATCTGGTACTATTAATTAATCACTTTGGAGGTCACTGATGGAATGCCATTTAGCTGTCATCTGATATATCCTGCTATCAGGACAGAGCTTTCAGAAGCTTCTCTGCTCTTTAGCTTGAGTGTCAAGAGCACAGTGTGGCCCAGCAGTGCTTTGCTTGACTGTAGCAAGTGCTGAATCCCAGTTCAGCCACTGGACTGCAGGAAATTTCCGGAATGGCAAAAACTTACGGACAACAGAAATTTATCTGGCTCTTGACCTCAGGGTAGCGACTGCAGAGTGCCCAGGGCTGACCAGTGACTCCAGCGCAAGCAGGGTCTGGCCTGTGCTGAGCAGCTGGCTGGCTTTTCTGGTTTTTGATTTTTTTATTTTTATTGAACTTCACATATTTTTTGATTGCTTTCAGTATTTCCCACTTCAGTGCCACAGCTCAGCCTGCAAATAGCACATATTGAAATCTGCCATTCAGATACCCCACGGACTTTATGCAGTGCCAGCAGTACATTAGGAGCGTGGCCCAGTGCCGTTCACTTAGTGGAAAACAATTAGTAAGAACATTGACAAACGAGTCCATAAATGAAAACTGAAACGAGTATTAAAGATCCATAGGTAGGCAAAAAAAAAAAAAAGGTGATTTTGCTTCTTACGTCACCTCTTCTGGAAGCGCAGTTAAATCTCAGTTCATTGCACTGGCCCGACGTGTGTGTGCTGCAGTTCGAGCAGCGGCAGGTCCTTTGCCTGGGAGAGGGGGTGCTCAGGGCACCCCTCCAGCCAAGTCTCCTCTTGCTGAAGCTTCCTCGTTCTGATGAAGTCTGCCCGCAGACAGGGTACAAAGTACCCTCCAGCCAGTGCAGTAAAACAGTGGCACCTCTGTCCTTGTCTAGCGACCCAAATGAACCGCTGATCCTGATGAAGGTCTGGCTACTGCTGGTCCTGGTCCAGCCGTCTGACTTCACCCTGGGCTGGAAGTGCTTGCCTGAGAAACCTTCCCCAATTGTCAGGACCTGAGCTGTGGCTGGGGATGCCACCTCTGCAATGCAGATATGGCCCTTAAGGAGCAGGAGCGGTTGCAGGTGCTGGGGTCAGCCTGTGCCGGCGTGGCAGCATCTGCGACGTCCACCCTGGTCACCGCACTCCCCAAGAAAGCCCCCTTGGTTTCAAAATTGCAAGAGCGGTGCTGCACAAGGGATTTGGTGCAAAGAATGCATGGAGTTTAGGAAACATGTTGCTAGGGTTTTTTTTTTTTTTCTACAAGTCAGGTCCCAGGGTTTTATCTGGAAGTCGCTGTCACTGCAGCTTTGGGGACAAGGAAGCTTGGCTGAAGGGGCAGTGATGCACAAACAGGTTTTCTGTCTACGTTTCCTGCCCTGCCTTTTCCTGGCCCTTGTTTTTCTTAGAAACTGTCCTTTTTCAGGGTGTGTAGCTTGGGAAAAGGGAGAAACACAACAGCAACTCAAGTGGGCTGGAGCATGGGAACAAGTGCTGCTGTCGGGCGACAGTTTATCCCCTGCAGAGCAGACTCCTGCCATCAACACAGGCAATACTAAGCTGAACAGTTCAGTAATGCTGAAAGAGGTTAGGCTTTCATCGGAGTGAAAATTACTCCTGTGGTGACACTAGCTAGGATGGTGTTGGAAGGGCTGTTGAGGTTGGGTTTTGCTTCAAAGTCATTGTATTCAAAAATCCCCAGTCAGGCCCAGGAAAGCAAGATTGGCTAAAAAGAGCAAGCCCAAAACACCACTGTTTCTTTCTTTATTCACTTTCCACTTTCTGGGCCCTCGAAAAAGGAGATAAAATTCAGGCAGAGCTAAGTAAAGACAACGCTAATGGAGCTGGAGCCATAATCAACCCAGGCAGCACCACATTTGGCCCAGCCTTTTCTCCTGTGTAGCATTGCCGTAATGCTCTTCAGTGTGTCTTCCCGCTGCTTCCTAATTCAAGCCATGGATGTTTTATATTTGAGGGAGAGAAAGAAGTTCAGGCTTTTCTGGTAGGTGTTAGTTAAACCTGAACCTGGCATTTTTCCTAGTGTAGACAAAGCCAAACCTCTCATTGCATCTGACCAAGTTCAGGGAAGCTGATGGTCATCATTCGTGTTACAGCGGTGCTGGGGCACCCGTTTGATGTGACACAAGGGCATCATTGCAGAAGGATCTCACCGTCTGTATAAGTAAGGGAAAAGAGAGGAAGGGGTAACGAGGGAAGAGATGAGAGGGTTGTCCCAGGTCATGCAGCAACGGAACGAGGCCCTTTACCCTTGAGACCTTTGTGGGGTTGAACGCAGCTCCTGGCTCGGCTCATGTTCTCCGAGTGCAGCCTCTGCTTGAATTGTCTCCTCTTGCTTGTGCTGGTGCTTTCTGCAGTAAGAAAGCTGTGCTGGCCCAGTGGGGCTGGCTGGGTTGCAGATACTGGTAGCAGCCTTGACAGCCAGCAGCTCAAGGCAAGGTGAAAAGAGGAGGAAAGTGCTGAGAAAGTGATGCTGGTAATGGCCTTTCAGGCACAACGTGGGCAGTGTGTGCAGCTCATCATCAGGTCAGGCTCCCGCTAGGGCTCAGATCTTGCAGTCCACGAAGCTTTTACACAGAGCAGCTTGTGGCCTGATTTTCCCTGCAGAGAACAGAACTCTTTTACCAACACTTAGCTACACATTTGCTGCTTCATACGTTCCCTTTACCTCCGCTGCAGCAGGGTTTGTGTGGGCACAGACACTGCTGCTGCGAACTGGGAGATCGGAGGAAGCAAGTCAGTAGCCCCAAGCAAAAAAGATTGATATTAAAATAAAACAGTTGCCAAAACAACGCCCTGTGTCAGCCGCATACTGGGATGAAATCCAAGGATATCTAAACTGGCTGAAATAGGCAGAGGATGTTGGCGTGTGGCAGTAATGTACTTGCATTCCCCGTGGCATCTACTGCCTGCCTGGGCACAAACCCGTGCCCTGTCTGATACCTGGGAATAAAGTCCAGGTGCTGCTCCTCAGGTACAGCAGAGATGGGCAATGTTAAAATGATAGTAAGTAGCTTTGCTTTTGCATGTTAGTGTCATACCGGTGCTGCCTGCTATGAAGTACTTGGTATTGGCATTACAAACCCTCTGCAGTGCAGGATCTTGGGATATCTCACAGACAATTTGGCCTCGTAGCATCCACAGAGGGGAGAAGACTGAAAGGCAGAGATTTTATCGTGACTTTCAGCATCTCTCGGTTTGCCAATCCTGAACATATTAGGTCCGTTTCCCTCCGATACATGTATAAGGTCCATGTGAGCCTGACTTTAAATCTTCCTTTTCTGTATTTATGTACTAAAGGGTTAGGCCACACATTGGTAAACCTGAGGTTGGGATCTAAAAATCCAGACTTGCACGTTGTACAAAAGAAGCTCTGTTTTCACAGAGACTGATTGCTCCCTGATCCGCCAACACCGATTGGAGATGTAAGTGCTCAGCACCAAACTCCTTTCTTTCAATAGCCCTTACTTTAGTTTAACGAGTGTTGGCTGTATCCATTAGCAATACAACACAAGTTCAAATTTAGTCCCTGCCAGGCATGAAAATGTTTTCTTGATTTTTTTTTTCTTCTTTTTTTTCCATTAATGCTTCTATCTTGGAGATGTTCATTTAAGTCTAAATGTTTCAAGAAAACAAATATCCCCTTTCTAAGGTTGTTTCTTGTTGTTCTCCTTACCTTGGTTATTTTGTCCTGATGTGAATATATGAAGTTGTTTATATTCACATCTGTATGTATGACACATGCTTCTGTTATTGCTGCTTGAATAAGTCTGCCTGGATTTTTCTTTGGGGTTTTCAATTTGTTTTTTGAGCTACTTATTTTGCTTCTCTCAATCAAAGACTGCTCCTCCAGCCACATGTCTCTTTGCCTGCTGTGGTGTTTGCTTTCTTTTCAAACCAGAGCTCCGACGAAATGTTTTTTTCATTCCAATCAGTTCTGAAAGGTTTTTGCATCTACCAGCCTTGTTTGCCTCTTTCCTCCCCTCGAGTTCATCTTGCCCAGCCTCTGTCTGTTGGTCTAATATTTTGATTTCCCTGTTTCAACTTTGTAGCAGATGTTGTTCAGTCTCATGGTGCCGTCTTCATGGAAAGCGCGTCCCTGTCCACCCCCATTTCAGCCCCTCAGTTCAGGGGCTTCCGGAGAGCCAGTGAGATCAGCATTGCCAGCCAGGTCTCAGGAATGGCAGACAGTTACACTGCTTCCAACATAGCCAACAGTAAGTGTTTCGCCCCCTCCGAGACTACCGCTCGCTGCCGCACCGCTCTCTCAGCACCGTGCACCGGGCCAGAGCCACGCAGCTTCTGTCTATCTGTCTGTCTGGGGTTATACTTGCCGTTTATAACAAAAAATTTGAATTATTCCACTTTCACCCGGTTTTGGTGCAGTCAGTGCCGCGTGTTACCATATCTCCTGGAGGAACAGATGATATATTTGATTATAATACAGGGGCCACCGCTGTGTTATGCATGTTGGACTGTGCTGGTGATAAATTGTTAAAAAATAATAATAATTGATAACTCTGAGTACCATTTGGCTGCTGTGCTTGGTGAGGGTTAATCCAAAGGGATGTTTCTGTGCTGCCGTTGATAAGTCATGCAGAACTGGTCGGGATCAGCACTGCCAGATTGATAACACAGGACGTGGTGTGTGGCTTGATGCAGATCGCTTAAATGTGGCCCGCAAAAATGGGGATGAGTAAACCCCTCTGTAATACTGAAAAGGAAAATCAGGTTTGTGTTATTTATTACTTTTCATTAACAATTCAGCTCTTCTAGAGCCCATAGGGCAGCTCAGAGAGTCAGCCAGTTATGACCCATGTCCCAGAGCCGAATGAGGAATAAAAGGGATTTTTTTATTATTTCTCCCAAGACCTGTATAACTTCCCAGCTACTACAGGGGAGAACAAGAGCCTTTGTTAGTGGTTCAGCCCCTTCTTCATTTCAGCTGAAGTGTGAGATTAACAGTCTGCGTCCTCAAGGACCTCTGATAACTTAGACAGAAAAAGGCTGAAAACCAAAGAAATTAAAAAACAACGACAAAAAAACCCACCTTCAGCCCAAACTCTTGTCCCAGAAGGTGGCAAAAATTTAGAGATACTCCATTTCTGGCACGTTAGACTACAGGGCTATGAAGGACTCACTTCATAATTAATTGCTGAGGTTAATAACGCTCCCCGAGGCAAGTGTTAGTTGCTGAAGGTCAGGGCTGCCATAACTTCTTGCCCTGTTTGAGGTGACACTCAGCGGCAGAAATAAACTACCTGCACTCAGACAAACGAGGTTTTCTCTCCCAAAGCACATCCGATAGCTGATGCCGCGCTCCCTCTGTGCATTCTTATATTTGTCCTGGTAAGACATCTTGCCAAGTGCTTGCTAAATATTAATTTGCTTTGGAAAAAGGCTCCTGGGGGAGAAGGTGTTTGTTTAGTGCTGGTTTAACACCCACGGAGAGCTGCCGAGCTCGGCCGGCCAGGAGGGAAAGCGGGGGACTGTGGTTGTTCGTTAGGAAGTGTTTACGCCAGGGTGATGCCTAAAGGCCTGCGTGACGCAATGCAACGGAGGGATCCTGCCTCTGCAAGCTGACGGCAGGATCAGGCCCACGCAACGCTTGCCTCTCTTTGCTTTCCCCACGCTCTCCCCAATTATTTAGCTTCTGGTTTGTGTAATTTATTCCTCTACGCACTTCACAACCGTCAAAACCTGTTTCTGAGATCGGAGAGGAGGAGTCCAGCCCTGGCATGGGCTGCGCATGCACCCTGACCCCACGTGCAGCCTGCCCCAAGGGCTGTCGCAGCCCCTTCCTTCACCTCCCGAGTGCCGATGTGTCCTCTGAGCCCTGGCTCTGGCTTTGCGGCTCTGGCTTTGCAGCTCTTGCTCTCGACCTTATTAACACGGTGGTAATGTGAAGCTGCGGCACTGAGGGTTGGATGTGGTCCACGCCTATCCCACAGGGAGAGCCGGAGGAAGTCCAGGGGGGCACCGCAAAACCATGGCTCCCTCCTGCGAGCCCCCCCTAGGGTGCAGCTTCCCTTGCACTGTGAATTTCTGGAGGATGAAGCTGGTGTTGCCTGTGGCATGTGTGCGTGCTGTAATATTAAGTGTCATTTCTGCTTTTTTTTAATTTTATTTTTCCTTTTAGAAACCAAACACAACCTTAATCATTGTAGAGGGTTTAGCCTTCTGTCCCAACTTGCCCTCCCTCACAAATCCCCTACCCAAACCTCGTCCAAGCGACGTAGGCAGCATAAACATGAAACCCCTTCGAAGGGAAGAAAGCTCAAAGGGCCATGGAGTCAGGCTGCAGACTGTGCTCTTCGGATATCCGACCTGGACATCAAGACAGGTATTCTGGAGAGATCCACTCCAGTCGACCTCCTTTGTCATTCGATAGTCACAGAACTTCACAACACATCTGTGCGCTTTCACTGAGGCACTTGCAATTTCTGATTGCATTTTAACAAGTATTTCTGTCACTTTGCTCCAAAGATCGATCATAACACAGCTAACAACTTGGCAAGAGGAGGAGTTTTGGGCAGAGCTGTGGGGATGACACTTCTGCCTCCACCACTGTCTTTTGAGCATGGAAAAGTAAATCCTGTCTGCTTCCTGCAAAGAATCTGAAATTACCCAAGCTGGGGACTTGCATGAGAAATGAAAGATTGGGACACGACCAGGAGCTGCCAATTTGGAAGACAGGGAGTCATAAGCGGCTGCAAGGAGATGCCGATGTGCTCTGGAAAAGCCATGTTGATCCATCAATGCCCTCCTCCTTCCCACGGCTCTTCAGAAAAGCAAGGGCCATTAGGATGAGGGTGGCCTGGGCACTCAGCACGGCCTGGGCTGGGCCATAACCCTCTGCACGTTGCTGTGGTGGGAGCTTTGTGCAGGTCCCTGGAAGGAGCTGGTGGGTCCATCTTTTCAGTTCAGCATCTGTGCTCATCACCAGCTAGATTTACCTTAACAAGAGGGGTTTGTTGGATCGTACCTTATACGTGGCAGCTTTCCTGGAAGTCCATATAAACGGAACATTGTCACAGAGAAAATCAAGTTTGAGAAAGCCCTCGTCAAAGCCCCAGCTTGCAACCTGCATGCAAACACAGCTCCTCCTGTTGCTCTCTTGATCTGATCCATCTTCTCTTTCCATTACTGCTTCTCCAGGCCAGAGCGCGTGGGGGTTGAGGACTCCTCACTGCTGGGAAAGCAGCCCATGCCTTTGGGGTCTGGGCTTTGGGCTGAGACGTCCTCATTGCCAGGGAGTTGGAAAGGATGTGTGCATGGGCAGAGCTCAGGGCAGCGCTGAAGTGTGGTGGTGTCCCATGGGTGAACGGTGGCTGTTGGTCACTTGTGTGCGAGTTGTTGACTCCCTGCAGGGGGAAACTCTTCTGTGTTGTCTGTAACCTTGCCCACCCAAGTCCCAGTGTATTTTTCAGTCCCATGTGCAGCGGAGTCCCGGCACCCCTGGACACTTTTCTTGTTGGCCACTACAGAGGCTGTGCTCTTGGGGAGGCTGGGCTGGACATCTCGGTTGCCTGCAATATGGTAGCCCAGAAGGGCAACCAGGACTTGTTGGGAACTGCCAATCCCAGCAGCACATGCTATGGCACCCTGCCTTATGGTGCCTTTTAGCATCTCACGTGGGCTCCCAGTATTCAGATCCTCCTTAGTGTGGCCAATATCTGGATGCTAAAGAGTCTTTTATTCCTTGGTGAAAGCTAAAGGAGTTGGATGCAGGGCTGGAGATGGCCTGGGCATGTCTGTGGTGAGCAGAGCGCACACACCCTTCCTCCCACAGCTCCAGGGAGATGCGTTTCTGTCTTATGTCTTGGCACGTGGATTTCCAGGCTCACTGCATGTGAGCCTTGGACCCCTTCCCTGCGGTCTGGACTAATGGCCAATTAATACCTGCCCTTTAGTGCCTTCCTATTTGCTTAAATAAAGGAGAGCTCAAGTGGTGGTGCCCCTGTGTGTTCCGCCCTTGGTTTGAGCAAACACTGAGCCCTGGGTCGGCTGTTCCCTCTTAGCAGTGCGACCAGCCAGGGAGCAACCTCCCGGTGTACCTGGAGCGAGGAGCCAGAGCCTCGAAATACCATTTGTGACGGAGGCTGCGCACACGTGTGAACCCCCTTTGTCTGAACGAGTCTTTTGTTTCTAGTTGCTGCCAAGTGGTGGGGAACCAAAAGGATCGACTACGCTCTCTACTGTCCTGACGCTCTGACGGCTTTCCCAACAGTCGCTTTGCCGCACCTCTTCCACGCAAGCTACTGGGAGTCCACAGACGTTGTCTCCTTCCTGCTGAGACAGGTACGGTCGTTCTCCCTCCCCTGATCTCCCTTGGGCTGAAAAATGTTTTGGGCTCTTTGTTTTTTCCACTGCACCTTCCATGACTCTCGACGCGTAGAGATGAAAAAATATCCTTTGCCACTGCAGATCCATTTTCTTCCCCTTCTTTTTGTTCCTCACCTGTGTTGTTAGCAGAGCCGCACACATGCAAACTTCACGGACATGTGTTGTCACACCTGGTTAGTTTGGGTCTGGGTTTTATCGTTGGAGCAGGTTTCAGATGGGCTCGACAGGGAGCCATAGAGCGAGCCCAGGGCTGTTTCCTATCAGATCAGAGTGGCAAAAGTTGGTGGTGCTTTTTCCTTGAAGTGAGCTGTTCTGTGTGTGCGAGTTTGGATCTCAAGTCTGAAATGTTAAACGAAACTTCTTGATGTACAAATAAAAATAGCACCAAATAGGATAAAGCCAAAGGAGAAGTTTTGTATGAACTTGATGTGAGTTGATAGACAGGGATGGGCTCTCCATTTTGGCTTTCTAAGTTATTGTGGTCTCCTCTAGGAACTCAGACCATCATCACTGCATTGGGATTTAGCCTTCGTTCCTCCAGTACAAAGCAGTTCTCCTGGGGCTAGGTAAATGGGGATTGCTGGTGTCTGGAGTCTGAAATCGCAGGCTCTATCAACCTACATCTGGCCTGAGATTTGAATTTGCTGTTTAAAATGTGTTTTTCCTAAAAGAAATATTTTTCCTTCAGTTCCTTGGGGATGAGGGGGAGTTATTTGCCTTACAAAGTATGAACCCCCCAAGGAATGATACTTAGAGCACGGAACTGGAAAAAACAAAACTACAAGCAACTCTGTGGATTGTGTTGCCCATTTCGACACTTGGGTTTCCTTTGTGTTAGCTCAGCTGTTAAGCTGTCCCCGCTCTCCTCCAGCCTCCTCAACAGCAGCTTTCAATTATTTATGATTCTGTTGGCAAACTTTCTTTCAGTGCTATCTTCCAAACAGTGTGGGAACCATAAACAACAGAGATGTCAGGGCTGGTGGTAGCTGAGCGGTAGTGATAATCCAGTGAAACCCTTTCTTCCCGGGCTGTATCTAGCCAGCGAGACATCTCTGTGCTTGCACACACCTTGCTGGATCCACTGCTGTGAAACCCCAGCCCCGCATCAAACTCAGCCTAATAGGGCTGAAGAGAGAGACAGAGAGACCTGTAATTGTGCATGAGTGGGTACAGTCATGACAGTCTCGGACACAAAATGCTCTACTCAAGAAATAGCCAATTACTTGGGATTCAGCCCAAACCTGTGTCTGTAGCACAGCGTGGCACTTCATATCTTGCGGCTTGAAGTACCTCTTCATCCATTCGAAGCCTGCCGGTGGCTGCCTGGGTAGTCTGGCACCACCTTTCCCCGGTGCCTGTCTCTACTCACTTGTCTCTATCTTGAGACTGGGATTTTTCTCATTCCCTGTTGTCTTGCGGTCCTTCCAGAGCACTGCACCACTTCTTCCCCTAATAAGGACTTATTTCTAATTGCCTTTGAAAGTTATCTCTGGACAAAATGTAGAAGTAAACTGTTGAATAGTTTTAGCCTCTCAAGATTAAAGCTTGTTAAAACAAGCCCAAATAGGACTCAAAATAGATTCCTGATTGAAATAATTTTCAGTAAAACTTGCTATTTTGTTTATCTTGGATTTCCATGAACTCTCTCCCCAGCCAGCTCATCCTCCCTGGGGTCCTTTTTCCATTTCCCTGGAAGAAAAACAGCTTCAGCTCTGCAAAGCGAGCTGGCCTGTGTCAGACCACTACAGCCTTGGTCAGCTGGAGAGCTGCTAACCACACAAAATATGTTCAAGACCTTGTAAAAGAGCCTACGTTTAAGTGCTCCTTAATTTTTTGGAGGGACGGGGTCACTAAGGACTACTGCTGATTTCCGAGTTCTCTGTGCGGGGTCACCTCCCAGTCTTACAGCCGTCTTTGAGATGTCCCCTCGCCTTTGGGGTCTGTGGTGTTATTCCTCCCTTTCCCTTCTAGAGCTTAAGAGCAGTCTAGGTAGGATCTAATCCTGCTTCTCCATCCCTGCCCGCACCCTGGTGACAGGCAGGAATTGCCTCCAAAGGCTGGCTGGTGGGCATCACCTTCCCCCTCTGATCCTTGCTCTGGTGCGGTGACATCCCACCGGCACAAAGTCCTTGAGCTCTGTCAGCCTTGGAGATGAGGTCAGGATGGACAGACACCCTGGATGCTGCCTTGCATGTGGCCGAGCGGACCCCTCCGTGCCTCCGCTGGGGTCAAATCAATAGTTCTGCCTCCTCTCAAAATGAGAGGAGTAAAAGCCATGGGACAGGAGCAGTCCAAAATGTGTTTAAATAGAAATAAGAAATGAGCTGAAGGAACGGCACCTGTCGGCATGAGGCTGGTCAGAGCAGCCGGTGCTAGATCTGTTATGGGAACAGCAGAAAACATGTGTTTGAAGGAGACCAGTCCCTCGCGGACCGTGGGAAGAGAATAATGAACGCCTTGAGGAAGGGCAGATATCTAAGTGCAGAGCTCGTCCTGCTGCGTTTGAATCAGTTTTGTACCTCCTGACAATCTAAAGAAGCTGCGTCCCAGCCAGGATTAAGTCAGCGCTGGCCGCAGGCTTTGCTAGTTCAGAAGAGACCACTTGTCCTTGCAATTAAGGGAGCAGTCTAAAACCTGCAAGCTGACAAGGCAAACTCAGGCTGCCTCTGTCCAGGCATTGCCCTTACTGAGCGCTGGCTCGGAAGATGCAGAACAGCGTGGGCAGGAGGAGGGGGGTCACTGCGCAAGTGGCTGAAGTGTCGGTGGGATCTGTCCTCCCGCAGGTGATGAGGCACGAGAACTCGAGCGTTTTGGAGCTGGATGGGAAGGAGGTGTCTGTCTTCACCCCCTCCAAGCCCCGTGAGAAGTGGCTCCGCAAGAGGACGCACGTGAAGCTCCGGGTAAGGGTGTTTTGGGGCTGCAGCAGAGGGAAGCGCTGTCGTGTAGAGGGGTTTCGATTTGGGCTGCAAGAACGGCACTGAAGGCGGCCAGCGTGGGCACGGCTGTGTCTGTCCACGGCAGAGACAGAGGATCACGTTGCACTGCTGGTATATATTAGTGGTTATATCCTACCCGTGTAGTTGTGAAAGAGCGACCCAAAAGATGGGTACGAGCAAGATTTCCTCTTGGCCTCAAGTCTGTGTAAAACACAGAAAGCGTTGGCTGTGGGTCAGGGAAAAAGACGGAATGTCTTTCAAAGTCCAACAATGCAAGTGCTCTGCTCGGTAAATGCCCTTCGCTCCCGGGAAATGTCTGCAGTTCCCGAAAGAGGGCAATTCTCTGCTAGAGCTGAAACAATGTCAGCAGATTTCTCTGGCAGCTGTTTGTATTGCCTCTTAAATCCAAAGCGTAAGATTTAATAGACAGTATCAGAATTGCATGTACAAACTGCCACTGAAATTGGCTCTTCAGCCATGTACACGCAAATCCACCCCGTCGATGCGAGGCATGGTGTTTCAGCTCTGCCACAGGTCAAATTCTTTTCTAAAGCTGAGAGCTGTGGGTGGAGTGGAGGGGGGGAATGGCACAGAGAAACCCATGCTCCAATTTGTCTGGTTGTATTTGGCATTTCCGTGTGAGGCTGTCCATCACTGCAAACTTTTTTTTCTCTCCCCCCCCCTCTTCCCTCTTGACTTGTGCAGAACGTCACAGCCAACCACAGGATAAATGACACCATTGCTAATGAAGATGGGCCCCAGACCTTAACTGGAAGGTTTATGTATGGTCCGTTAGATATGGTCACGCTCACAGGAGAAAAGGTACTGTGTCTGCTATGGGGGCTGCGCACCATGGGGGGGACAGAGACAAAGGCGGTGCTGGTCGGTGCTCCCTTGGTGCCTGACAGGGTTTGCTGCCTTTGCATCTTGGCCACGTTCCCCTGCTCAGACTTGCGTGGTGCCTCCTTCCAGCAGCAGCAGCGTTCATCATGGAGGTCTTTACCACCAAGGCTAGGCTTCATTCCAGCATCCTGATGTTTGGGTGCTGCTCAGATCTGTGAAGTGCAGAGGGTGAAGCAGGACCCAGCCCTGCTGCCATCCAAAGGGGCTTGGGTGGAAGGTCCCCATGCTTGGCCTGTTCTACTCATCTGTGTCTTTAATGCTGTTGTTGACCCAGCCCTGCTGTCTTCCCAGGTGGACATTCACATCATGACCCAGCCACCGTCAGGAGAGTGGGTTTACTTTGACACTGAGATCAGCAACAGCAGTGGCAGGATTTCTTACGTCATCCCTGAGAACCGGCGCCTGGGCATTGGCGTGTACCCCGTCAAGATGGTGGTCAGGTGAGGTACCTTGGGGTGCCAGGGCTTAGTTTGGAAGAGGAACAAAAGTGGAATCTGATGACTGTAGAATATGGTCCCTCCTTGTGGGGTGGCTCTGATTGCTGGGTGGGTTCAGAGCCTGGTTTGCCAGCAACAGGGACAAAGCCGTTTGTACTCTACAGCTGTAAGAGGAAGATCCATGTTTTATTCCGACTCCTGTGTTAGCAACAGGATGCAGGAGCAGGCCTTCTGCACCACAGGCGCATGGCCTTGCGGTCATCTGCAAAACTGCACAACTGAGCGTATTTTAAAGACCATAAACTTGTCCTTGAGGGACAGAACTTTGTACTCATCATAATTCACAGCCCAGGGCTCCAGCTCAGCTCCAGTTGCTCTGGAAGGGGGAGGAGAGAACCATCTTTTCAGTGGTGAACCCAGCAATGGTTTTTGGGGGGTATTTTTTTGAGTCGCTGACACCAGGGCTCTGGAGCGCTATTTCCAAACCCAACTTTAACGCAGAGGCCTTCACACAGTGCCTGTCACTGCTGTAACTGAGGGTGGCATTGCTGTTAGAAGCTTTGGGCCAGATTTGGGTGCTGCTTTGGGGTTGGCAGGACTCAGCGATACCTCCTGAAAGAACCTCTCTATCTTGATGCCTATAAATACCTGCATCCCTTTCAGGGGTGACCACACATATGCAGACAGCTACATCACAGTCCTGCCGAAGGGGACGGAGTTTGTGGTGTTCAGCATCGACGGCTCCTTTGCAGCCAGCGTATCCATCATGGGCAGCGACCCCAAAGTCCGCGCTGGAGCGGTCGACGTTGTAAGGTCAGCATCGGGGGCTGGGGCAGTTGGTCTGTTTTAATCTGGCGTTGCTCTCGGTCTGCAATCCGTTGACTTGTGGCTTTCCTTCTAGGCACTGGCAAGACCTCGGCTACCTCATTATCTATGTCACGGGCCGCCCCGACATGCAGAAGCAGAGGGTGGTAGCGTGGTTAGCACAGCACAACTTCCCCCACGGGATCGTCTCCTTCTGCGATGGGCTCGTTCACGACCCGCTGCGGCACAAGGCCAACTTCCTGAAATCCCTCATCACAGACGTAAGCCTGGCTCTGCTGAAATATGATCATAGCACAGGTTTAGATTGCTCCTCGTCCAATTGCCCCTGTCAGCACCAGTCTCTTGGCAGCGATGTGACCCGCAGTGGAAGATTAATCTCTTCATTTTATTTTCATCCTTTTACTGCTCTACAAAAGTGTCCACACTGTTAAATTGTGTCACCTCTGCTCTGCTCCATTTCATCACTGGTCCTTCCAACACCAAACGCCTAATGAAACAGAGGCAGCAGTGCCTCCCCTTCCCCAGCCGTGCACTTTTTTCACCTGTTTGGTAGCTTTCTGGCTGCCTGTGGTGTAACCAGCAGGTCTGAGAGGGCATGGAGCTGCTGCAGAAATGGCCTTGCACCACCCAGCCTTGACGGGAGACTCCACAGAGCATCTTCCCAAGCGTTCGACCCCAGGGAGGTCTTAATGTTGCTCAGCCCAGCGCCTCAGAAAAGCTCCAGATAAAACAAGATTTTCTCTGTCTGGCAAGTGAGGGAGCTGCCAGCATCCCAAGCACTTGTGCCCTGCCTTGAACAGCAGGGAAGCCTCTCGTTAAGTCTCTTGAACCCTCATTTCGGCCCAAGTCACAGTGGCGGGAGCAGCTGGCCCTTACTGGCTGCCTGGTCTCCCTTGTCCTCCAGAAGAAGTTTGTGACCAGGGCCAGAGATTTCCTTCCCATCTCCCTGGCCTGCCTGCAGTGCCAGGGGCAAAGCCGGCCGGTCTGTGGTGGCACCAGTGTCCCCAGCTCCCCTGCCAGCCCCTGCTTCAGCCCACTAAGGAAGGGGTTGGCCAGGAGCTGCGCTCTGCTCGGAGCAGAAGCAGACGAATCCCTGAAAAGCCGCATGTTTTGCTGCCTGTCCCTTCTCTCTCTGCCCAGCAGAGTTAAACAGCAGAATTGCATGCAGCAGCATGGCTGGCGGAGGGGAACACTCCCCACTAATGATTACTGCACGGGGGGGTTGCGAACCAGTCCTCTCCCCCAGTGACAAGCAGGCAGTGAAGCGTGCAGCGTCCCTGCCCCCCGCAGACCTCAAGGAAAGGCTGTGGATCAGCAAGCGGAGATCGGCTTTCATATTGCCGTTACTCCTCTTGTTCTGGCCTGTAAACATCCCCAGCTCTGTTAATTAGCGCTTCGCACAGCGGTGCGTTATCCAGCTGGGAACTTACATAAGTTATTGACCTGAGATTCCCACAAATGCTATTTTAAAAATAAAAAAAGCCCTGCCTGTTGAGCAGCACGGGGCGCCCATATGTTCTGACTGCGTGTTGCTTTCTCTCCCTGCAGCTCCACATGAGGATCCATGCGGCATATGGATCTACTAAGGACATCTCTGTGTACAGCTCCATCAGCCTCCCGCCCACGCACATCTACATCGTTGGCCGACCCACCAAGAAGCTGCAGAGCCAGTGTCAGGTAGGAGCCAGCTTGTCTGAGCCCTGCAGGTGCTGCCAAGGGCCTCCCATGGGAGGGCGATGTGACTTTGGTCACCTTAGAACTGGTGACTGAGCTAGTGTTTGCCAAGAGGACAGGAGCTGTCCCACGGACCAGGACCCATCACATCTGAGTGGCTCCATGTCTTGTACAAAGCCCCAGAGAACCTGGTACAGCAAACGCATTTGGCTGCCAGTGGCTGCCAGGGAAACGTGTCCCATCCCTCTAACGCCTGCCCTCATCCCTCTTGTCTCGCAGTTCATCACGGAGGGGTATGCAGCCCACCTGGCCCAGCTGGAGTACAACCACCGCTCGCGCCCCGCTAAGAACACCACGCGCATGGCGCTGCGGAAAGGCAGCTTCGGGCTGCCCAGCCAGACCGAGTTCCTGCGCAAGAGGAATCACCTGCTGCGGACCATCTCCTCCCAGCCTTCGGCCACCGGCGGCAGCGCCGGCCACCGCCCCGAGCGCACCCAGAGCCAGTCCGACAGCGACAAGGAGAGGGACAGGGAACGCAGCCAAAGAAGCATGAGCATCGCCACGGGGTGCTGGGGCCGGAGCGCAGCATCCCGGCTGGAGTCTGGCCTCTTGGGGCAGAAGTAGCCAGGCCAGAGCTAGTGACTGTCGGCTGCAGCCACCGAAGGAGAAAACAAAAGGGAAGAGGGATGAGGCCGGCGTTACGGGCTGGAAGGGTAAATATGGTGCTACTCTCATAACATCATGGTATTCTGGGAAGAGACGGGATGTTTCCCACGCAGAACGTGCAGGCCTTGCAGCAGGAGCGTCAGGTTTGTGCAGCATGAGCCCAAGGAACAGCTGGAAATTGTGGGGGGGAAGTCTCCAGGTCAAGATCGCGCTCTCTCCTGCCTCCTTCTCTTATCCAGGTTTAGTGACTGTAAATACGTGCCTCCTCGCCTTGTTAGCCATCGCGCCGATATGCGTGACCGAGTGCTGTCCTCAGAGCCACAGAACAGGGGATGAGGCTGGGGGAACTTGTTCTTGGTTGTCCCAGGAGTCAGACTGAGGTGCTCTGCCGGTGCCGGCACGGGGTGAGTTGGGGTTCGATAAGCGTGCTGTTGCCCCGGCACAGACAGCCCCAAGCGAGGGATTTATCATGGGCTGTGCCAGGCAGAGCAACCGAGAGCTTTACCTGTACAAAGCTTCAAGTTCAGCCACTTTCTCAAGGAGTACATGCAGTGGCAAAGCGTAAAGATGTATCGATGCTGTTGGTAGAGGCAGAATGTCGGCAGATTCACGCCCAAGAAAGTGGGGTCATTAAAAAATAACAGTAATAACAATAAAGAGACCTTTTAGAAGCCGATGGAGTTTAATGCGTTGACCTATTAAAAGAGGAATACAAGCTATTTTGTTTGAGCTGTTACAAACCTCAGACACTTAATTTGCTGTTAAAGTCTCCAAATATTCTCGCTATATATTATTTCCAAAAGTAACCACCGTATATTTGGAAGCAGCTGAAGGCACTCAGCAGCTAGATTGCATTGCAGTTCTCATCCAAATGCAGGGTCTGACTCTCTCAACACCCACCTCTGAGACGTTTTCTTCTTCCCAGGTTCTCTCCAAGTTCAGTAGCAGCTTTCATGGGAACTTGGCTCGCTTCTTTGACCTGTAGTTACTGAACTGTAAAACCTCATTGTTTTTTGCACTGATGATTTTTAGAATGGAAACCTGTTACCATCTCATGTAGCTACACCTAACTGTTTGTAGTGCATGACAATGAAATATTGCTAAGCCAGGGTGTGTGTGTATATATATACATATATGCATATACATATGCACACACACGTATATATATGTATATGTATATATTTAAAAAAAAAAAAAAATCTGTGCAGAAGTTTTTCCAGCAGTAAGGAGACTGTAAGGAAGTGTGCCAACAATGTCAGGCAACCTTAAGAAAAGGCCATATCTTAATTTTCCTGGTGTGTTTCTCAGTGGATGTGCCTGAGCTGATGGTTTGTGCGCTGCTGGAGCGAGCCGGGGCTGGGTGCGTGGCAGAGGGGAGCTGCTGGTGCGCGGGGCGAAGGGCTCGCTGCTGGCTGGCACCCCCGGTGACGCCGAGGCGTGCGCCGTGCGCGGCGCAGGACTGGGCGCGCGTCGCTCTGCAGCAGCGGAGGAGAACAGTGCCTAGAGCGAGGGCTTGCCGAAAAGCCCCTTAGTCCTGTCCCTCCCGGGTCGGCCTGGCCCTGGTGAAGGGCCTGGTTCCCTCCTTGCACACACCCCCCGGGGCGGAGGGGCAGCCACCCCGGGGGAGCCGGGGTGCCCATTCACAGACTCCAGTTGGCCTCTTCACGTGGAGATTTTATAGTCCTACCGAGCTCCCCGACGATGTGTAACCCTGCTTTCCCCCACCACACTTTCCTGTCTTTATATCACTTTCTACTTATGAGGATCTTATTTGTAACAAAGAATTTTTTAGACTGGCTGCTTCATTTTATTAACTGTTTCAATATGAAGTGCAGGACGGCCGCACTGAGACACACAGCACTGTGAACGCTGCTCTGCTAATTGGCTCTGGGCCACAGTAGGCAAATCTAACTCATCAGACACCCAAGGTAGATCTCACGTCTTCGTGGTGCTGGAGGGTCGAAGCGGAGGCAGAGGAGGGACAGTGCTGAGCTGCCGACGGCGTCCGAGCCGGTGGAGCGCTCAAACCCGCCTGCCCGCCTGCCGCCCAGTGCATCTCCCACATCTTGCAGCCTGACTGCAAAATGCTTAACCACTTCTCTTTGATAATTATTCAATTACAGAATGTATCCGATGACTTTTGTTACCAAAACTGACTTCCCTTTCTGCCGACTCAGCTTAGCTCTCTCTGAATGTACATCCAGAGCTTACTGGGTTTAAAAACAATGTGAATTGTCCCAGCTTTTTGCTAGTCGAATGTTATATCAAACAGATGCCATCCGAGTAGGAAGCCAAGCCACAATCCATCCTGTGAAGTCACCAAACCACATCACAAAATAATTTCTGCAAATTTGGATATGGCCTTTGCAAACTTCAGCTTTCCTCCAAGTCCACAACCAAGGCATGATCTGTACATTTTCCAATGCTGACAAGATGTTCACGTTTTCTTATGTGTAGATAGTGTAAAACAGAGGCGAATGTAAATGTTCAACATAAAAAGTGGATATATAAAATTGAAAGTTATTTATTTATGTAGAGGAAAAAAAATGTCTGGAGGGACTGGAACCTTCAGGGTTTCTTAATATTTAAAGATGTAGCTTTTTGTTTCAGGCATTATGTACAAAGCAATTATTTTATGGACCAAGTTTAATGTAACTGTCAATGAATGCAGAAGTGCAATATTATACTCACCTCTCCATCACTTCATGTTTTAAACAGCTACTAACCAGTTAGACTGACAATCACAGCTCCTCCGTCCTCATCCTTTGTTGAGCTTCTTGAAACTTGCCCGGGCCCTTTCCCCGGCCCCCCATCTGTTGCATTGTACGGATCCAACACGGAGAAGCAATTGTAGAGCGAGACCTTTATTGCTGCAATAATACCAGATGAGGTGGGTGTAGTTACCAGGAAATACGCCAGTCAGTAAGTTTTTCTCCGCCGATTCAGTCCATCGTAGTCTGCATCAGTCTGTTCTCAGCTGCCCCCGTCTGGCACTCATCTATCTGAAGCAAAGATCAACGTGCTGCTCACTCACAGAACAATAGCAATAGTTTAACTCTGTGTTTATAACCTGTTTGTTCTGAGCTGTTTTGGAGAGCAATGCATGTGGCCCGATGCCTTTCCACTTGTAGGGAAGAGGATCCGTTTGGATGCAGTGAGGGAAAGATGAACATATATATATTCCATCCTTACTAAAGGGGCACTGTCAGGTTAAAGACCTATTTACCTTTGTTACAAACAACTCGTTTGCTTCGAAATGAAAGAATATCAAGTTTCTTGTACTCCTCCCGATCGCCGTTGTCTGGGCAGCCATCGGTGCGAGCGGCGACAGTCGTGCTGCTTCTGCTGCAGCCCACGTCCTGTTCTCACACATGAGCACAATACAGCCCGCGCTGCGCAGGCTGCCTCGGTCGTTGGTTTGGTGGTGGTTTTTTTTTTAATTGTTTCCATGGGAATTAAACTTTGCTGTGGAGCTCAGATTTTTTATAAAAAGCAGCTTTTTGTATTACTGCACTATTGGGCCAGACTTTCTACCTGACGCTGTCCCTTTAAAGTCTTTTAAAACTAAAAAGAGGAGCCCGTGCATTCCCTCCGAGTTGTTTCCTGGGTTTGCTAGATCACTCGGTCAGATGAGACGAAATTCTAATACCAAAAACGTTTACAGTGTCCGATACGCGAGCCGAGAGCAGTAACTAGCCAAAGGGTTACTAACAAACTCCCGCTCCGCCCAGCAGCCGCCGTGCTTGCTGTAGCAGCCCCTTCTTCAGGTATCGCCACCGTTTGCTGCATTTCCTATTAGTTCTAGAAGCCTTACGGTCCCCTCCCTGTCCTCAGCACCCTCTGCCTGTTGATACCCTCGACTGTCAATTTTATATTCCAACGTTGTTAGTTATATTTTATTTATAAAAAATTGCTTTAGGGGTAACAGACGTGTGTGTGGGGAACCACTGGAGGGCACGCCCGAGGGCGCCGGCAGCCGCGCTGGGTACGCCCTGTGTGTACGGTACCGTGCCGATGACTCGCTTGTGTGTGACAAACCTTCTGTACAACTTCCTTCTCCTCCTTGCTGTTAGTGCATCGTTCCAATGCCTGGGTGTGCTTTGTGTACAGTATCATTGTGAGTTACACAGATTAAAGAAATGGGAAGGCTCTTCTCTGTCTGCTTTTTTTGGGAGACTCTAGAAACAGACAAGTCACAAAACCCAAGATGTGAGCAGGCACCAGTTTAATGGGGTTACAGCCATGAACAGAACGTGGAAACTCTCCACGCAGGTCAGTCCTGCAGGACCCATTTATCCTTTAACCCTTTTTTTCTTTTTTTTTTTTTTTTAACAGTTTGTACTT